TCGGATCTGATTGGATCAGATTTTGAATCTGCTATAGCGGCAGCTTCAGCATGCGCTAGAAAACGTATGCGTTGACTGGTCAACTTTGAAGTTTTAGGTGGACTACCAATTTTCGATGCAACTGGATAAAAAATGAATATTAACAAGTGTGTGTAAGTACGTCAAGAATAAAAATGTTCTGGTAAGAAGTTGTGACCAGGGGGGTTACACCGTGTCGCATGTGAAGCAGTTACCCACTGAAGACAATAAATGATCACTCAATATTGTGGATTGACTAAAGTTAAACATGAACGCCGTTGGAAGCCGGCTCCATGGTCTGCAGGTTAGTCGTTCGCGCGAGCGACAGAAGGTACTTAGTTCGATTCCCATAGGTGGACATACATTGCCAATGAGTCTTACACTATGAAGAAACGGCCGTTAAGTGCTTTAAGGTTTCCAATGATGATTTAACATTGACCGACTCATGATTTCAATGAAGCTTAACAATCTTCACAACCCTAGATTAAGAAAAATGTTAATTGAGTAGTGATGGAGATCTTGTGATCACTAATCTGAATGGATTATTGGTGGAACTTTCATTTTCCTTCCAAACGATATCGTCTTCATGTGCTTTAAAGCAAAAAGAACAATTAGAATCAGCACTGAACGGCCTTGTCTTCCTAGTATGAGACTCATCAGTAGTGCATATGCACTACTCCTGCCTATGGGAGTTGAATCCAGGTTATTCAGTCTGTCAAACGAACCTTTGACCTCTAGACCACGGAGCTGGCATCCAACGGTGCTATTGCCTAACCTTAATCAATCTAAGGTATTGCACAACCATTGTCTTTTGTGGGTAAGTAACTAACTGTCTACACCCGACAGGGTAGAACTCCACTGGTCTAAAAATAATCAATTCATGATACCAATGAAACTCAACAATCTTCATAATGCTATAATGAAAAATAAATGCTGCACACACACAAAGCAGATAAAGAGGAAAAAAAATTTTTTATTGGTCAATAAATATGGATAAAATCACCTTCGATAGCTGCAACTGCATGATCTCTAGCTCGTGTAACAGTTTTCTCTGGACTTCTTGATATTGATCTGTCTTTTTTAGCAGTGGAAGTTATCGGTCTAATTTGGAAGAGAAAATAATAATTGAATAAATTAAGATTTTCAGTATAAATTCACTTGTACAAACGAAAAAAATTCACATGTATATTACATGGTGATAAGATGATTTGAGTGTAATTGGAAAAAAAGATGAATCAATGAATTAAAAAACAGGATGTACTATCTGTTTGTGAACACATTGGAGGATTTCACAATTGGATTGTGAATAAATGAAAGTGTACTGTATCAGTTCAGCATTTCTCATTTTTTAACATTCATTCGGTCAGTATAACAATGCAAAATGAACTTGTGTTAGGTGGTTGGAAGCAGTCGATTGGAAAGGCTGGATAGAAGGAAGTTTCATCACACTTAGTAATCTTCAAGGGAAAAGTGCTTTTGAGAGGAATTCAAATTATAGTCACTCAATATTACAAATTCACTGAGTTATTTCGACTACTATGACTGATTTCCGGTTTCAATTATTTGTTAAAACATTATCTTATCATAAATAAATATGTACATTAAAATTCATTAATTAAAGTCAGTCGTAATAATCTCTACGAATATTATACATTTGCTGATGCGAACTGATTTTAATTCTGAATTGAACCTTGATAATGTAACTAACTCGCGGGAAATTCATTTTGGCAAAATACACGATTATGGAATTCCGTAATGAAAATATAATATATAGGGAATGAATTACTTGTCAAAAAAGGATAACTGATTTTAGGTTTTTGTGTAAAATTCGAAAGTGAATAATTATTTATCATCATGTTAAATGCATGATAGAAATAATTTTGTAAAGTATTTGGAATATTCAGAAATAGTTAAGAGCAATATAAAGAGACAAATGTCTCCGAAGCATTGCTAGTTTATCGTGGGACAACCGAGAAGACAATGGTGTCGTTAGGAAGCGCGTACTAGGTAAGGATGGCAGACCAGCAGATGAAGTGGTGAAACTTCATCAGTTGAGATGGTTGGGACATGTGTTACGTATGCCCAACCACCAACTGCCTCGTCGAGCTATGTTTTGTGGTGTAGGAATACGTTGGAACAAAGCTAGGGGCGGCCAAACAAAGACATGACAGAAATGCATGAAGTCGCTGACTAGTGGACTGAGCTATGTTGGTAGATGCAGATTACCTGGTTAGGGTCCGCAAAAAGATTATAACTGATGGTTAGAAACCTTGAACGATGGGGCTCAAAGTCGTTTGCATTAGCGCAGGTGCACCCATTCTTTGTGTTAGCTCGAATTCGAATCTTCTGAATTTCTCATGACCGTTTTTTCTCTGTTTTTAATCGAATCCCATAGGGTATACATCTCAAATGATATATTCCATCTGTGTGAGAAGGGTTAATCGCGCATATAAGAGAGGTTTTAAGAGATGAGGGAAGGATTTAATTGTGGAAAAGATGGTCTCGTGTTCTGCTATGGGTATGAGGGCGGAAACATCTTACTGCTGTCACAGCTCTCTACAGCCAGCAGTACCAGTTCGCCCTCAAACCTTGATTTGCTGCTTTTACTCTTATCGTCCTCCAATCGACCTGTCTGGCATGGTAGGATCTAGATGAACATATGTTTCAGGCAACATAGCTCGGTTGGGTCATCACGATATGCAAACCAGACCACCGCGTTACAAATACACTCGATTACTTGTACATGACTAACCTCCGAGTAAATCTCTGATATTTTGAGTTGAAGTAGTTTAGGGTTTTAAGAGCGGTGAAAAAGTCAGTAATAAGAGTTTCAGATTTCTCACTTCTCAAAATACACTTAACATAATTGCAAACCTGAGAAGAATCGCTGTAAGAAAACAAACTGTGTAGTAACTTACCTTTTAGGTCGACTTGGCGGCTTTGGTGGAACTGATTTCTTCTCTGAAGTTAAATTAGATGATATATCATTAGTTGAAGTATTAGTACCAGGTTGTGTTGGTGGCCGAAAAGGTTTAGCCCGATATGTTCCACCGAATACACGACTCCATGTTTTCCCATCTAATCGAGCACAAGCTAATCGATATAATGTGGATGTATCACGGGTATGCAATGCATAAACCAATAGACCGAAATACGATGCAGCTAAAGCTTGAGCCAATAAACCAATAATTCGACGACGATCTACAGATTGAATACGTGTTACTGATGATGATGACGATAAGTCACGATCTAATAGATTTTGTGTGGATGTGATACGAATAATTTGACCAGTACTAACGTTACTACTCTGTAATTGAGGATCCGTAAAACTTCTTAAGCACGTTAAACCTAAATGAAAGAAATTCAGGAAAAGAAACACGTAAAATTTGGATATTTAGACAAAAAGTGTTGTTTACATTAAAAACAGAAACTAAAGTAACATGATTTAAGTTATGCACTGAAATCATGAATGATTCATTGATAGACCACCACCATTAGAAAGCAGGAAGCACTGAACGGCCATTTCATCCTGGTACGGGACTGACTCATCACCAGTGCACATCCAAAATTCTAGCTACACACTGGGTTCGAACTCAGGAACTTCGGTCTTGCCCCTGAACCCTCAACCTCTGGACTACTGAGCTGGCATCCAACGGTGTTAATGTCTAACTGTGATCAATCTAAGGATTTTTCACAACCTCACCTATTGTTTTCGGTAGTTACTGCCTACACCCGACAGGGTTGAACTCCACTGTTCACGTCTTCTCACTAGAACCCCGAGAACTTCGTCGCGAAGCAAAACCAGAAGTCCCGGGTTCGAGTCCTGAGGGTGGCAGGAGTTATGGATGTGCATGGCTGATGAGTCCCATACTAGGACGAAACGGCCGTTCATTGCTTCCAGGTTTTTAATGATGATCTAATAATGATTTATTCATGATTTAAATGTAAAACAACCATGCCTATAATTCTATAATTTAATTTATAGTTTAAAAGATCGAAATAATTGGATGAATAAAAAGCAAATAAATGAAAATATAGCGGATACTAACTGTTTTGCTGTAATGGTTCGTATACTTTATCGATTGTTGTGATATACTCAAGCATACTTGTTCAACAAATTGAAGACGTCTTTTATGCCCACATAGCTAGTCATCATCATCATCAACAGCAACATAGAACTTTGCACGTAAGTACAGCAGTTCAAGTTGCCACATAGCTAGTGCACATGGTTCATGTTTTATTTTGTATATTAACTCCAAGATGCAGTTGCATTCAAAGAATGTGTTTCATTTGATTAGGAGCAATTCCAGGTACTGTTAGAGGTTTGAAGAAGGCAATCACTTCATGACTCCTAATAATATGAAGGTTTACTTCTTATTGGGAAGACTTGGACGAAGAACTGGATTGATAATTTCATGTAGTTCATTAAATGTTGGAAATTGTTTATGAAAATAATACACTGGTTAAAATGGTATTCTTCAAGCACCTTAAGTAAGGGATGTGAACGATATAGTGATGAAGCAACTCCAAGATTATCACTGACCTCCTATTTTCATGAAAGCACACAACGTACAAGGTTTCATCAGAATCATAGTAGGCAATTCGTTTTCCGAACGATAATAATTGTCTGTTCAAATGATTTTAGGTAAACATTGAACGACCAGACAAGCATGATGACACTGATGATCATTGAATCACCCTATTATTAAGTTGTATATATACAAGGAAATTTGCTGTTTGCATTGTTCAAAAATAACGCCTCAAAAAGTAAAGCTGGATGAAGTGGGTTTCAATCCCATAGGAAGAATCAATTTCCGCATATTATACAGTTATTTATTGTTAACTGTTGTCAAACAAGAATGAAACCTATTTCTGGTAGTGTACCCAGCCAAATACTTCGAACTACGTAACAAAATAGTACATAGCGACAAAGAGGAAGTATTCTGATGTGGGATAAAAAAATCATATAACTTTACATAGAGCAGAGTTCAAAGGAAACTGCTTGCAGCAAACGCGGATAAGGTAGAGGACGATTGTTTATGAAGTTAGCAATCCCATCTCTTAAAAAAGAACTGTGCTCAGAAACACTAACCAAAACATGCCTCTGTTTATCATACGATAGAAGTTACTTTCTCTCTCTCTCTCTCTCTCTCTCTCTATATATATATATATATATATATATATATATATATATATATAATGTGAAGTGACTTACCTGGCCATTTAGACGGTTCTGTATTTGGTCGAAATGTTTGACCAGATACACACAAACGGTCGACTTAAGTAAAAACAAAGCAAAAACGAAATACAAATTCAAATTCATGTCAACTTATTCAAAAGTTGTAGGAGTATAATAATATCAAGGATTCAAAGTGGTATGTCGAAGTCAACACCGATCACAGTATCATAAAATTATAATAAGTAAATTGTTTCAGTATGTGCCACAATATGATCCAGACATAAGAAGATTATACGATCACTAAACTAAATTGAGTTAATGAGTCAGATATAAACTAGATCACATTATATCATATTACCGATTTGTGACCTACAAAATAATGTACCGGATTATAAGCCAGTTAATAATTTATTTGACGACAACACCAGCATTTCACACAAACACAGTAGTGAATCCAGAGAGGAAAACAGTAATGTAAAGGCAGTTCATAATATCAAGTGTCACAAACATAAATTTTTATCGACTTTATTTCACTGGCCAATTAATTACGTTAAACTATCACACAACGCATCAAAGTACGAGAACTTTATTTTCACAAAGAATAATGCACACATCCAAGCACAAGTGTATCAATTAGTTGGAAACATCACATAGTTAATATTGTTAGAACTACAAGAAGCATATAATGTATTTGAACGACAAGGGTGATCAAAACTACGTTATATATTGGCGTAATACATATACTTATAACGAACATTTATGTATATGAAACATAAAAGGTCAATTAGACAAATAGAATGATATAGGGAAGAAAGATAATATTTAAAAAAGTGAAACAATCCATGTATGATGATCAAATATAATATACCAAGGTAAGTTGAAGCTAAGAACAAACTTGATTTAAATGCATAATGTACGTTGGAACTTTCGTACGGCTAGTGCATGTTCCCTTGAACATTTTTGTATATCACCAATAAAGCTGAATTAGGATTAATTTAATTGATCTGTTTCAACTAAATGTTTAATAACGATAGATGTTTATCACCTAGGTAGGTAGTGTGTCTTGTTACATTCAGTGTAGGGACACTGGTTTCTGTCAGTGGCTTTGATATAATTATTTTTAAAAGACCGGGTTATTTGAGTCTGGATTTTGTAGTTTTAGGTAGGGTTGTATTTGAGACAGTTGAGGATGATAGTTGACTTGGCATGCAAACTGTTCTATAGTTTTGTACATCTTTGGATATTCCTGAAGAGGACGTTTGTGTTCCCACTTGGGAGACTGGATCTGTCTTTTCTATTCGGCAATCATTTCTGATGCATCTATTCATTTCTTTGATTGCAGCGAACATTCTTTGGCAGTTGATACCGCTGAATTTATATATAAGTTTTCGTGTTCCAATTATTTTTGAGTTGTAGTTTCAGGTTTGTGAGTTTTGCTTTTGTCAGTTTTGTTAACCAATCCTTGGGTGGTTTTTCGTTGAGTTGAATCAGCTATTCCGTTATTGATTATTCAGTGTTTCCAGGTTTCCTATGGTGATCTAACATTTATCGATTCATGATTTCAATGAATATTTCAATAGTTTGCACTTGCAACAACTGGTCGTTTCATTTGGACATTGCTTACGCCCACGCGCTTACTCATCCTATTCGCTTTAATTTTAATCTCCTAATATCCTCATGAAATCACATGACTCGTCTCGTTTGCTTTTGACCTTGTCAATCATTCGTCGCTTTTATTCATGATTGTGCATGCCTATTTCGCATGTCATATGTCTGTCTTATTTTTGTCTGACTATATATTCTTAGTCATGCTCTATCTCTTTGAGTTGGCTCACTAGCCTTCTCCACATCGCTTCCTTCGCCCATTCGCTCGCATTGTAATCCTGGGAGTTGGCTCAACAGCCTTCTCCAATTCACGTCGCTTCATTCGTTTTATTCACTGCTTGTCCGCTTCGCTTTGTGGTGTGTCCCAAATAAACGTATTCAACACTACGAGTTAGCCTTCTGATTTATAAACCGTCAGACGCTAGTTAGTAACGATTGTCTAGACAAGCTAATTACCGAGATTAAGAACATGCAGTAAATCGGCACACTAAAAAATGGTGATCCCGACATCAACTAAATCGGCCACCATAAATTCACTCACCTGAACGAATGTTAATAGTACTTGTGGCAGGTAGAGCAAATACATTTTTTGTTAATGAAGATGATTGTATAGCATTATCATCGAGTACATAACCAAGACCAAGCCAACCACCAACAGTTAAACATTGATGTATACATGCAGATAGAGCAGCGCATAGATTACGCAATAGAAATACTCTTCGATGACGATCTCCTGTTGGTGCTAAAATACAATCCGCACAATGTAATGATTTTTTCGTATTGTCATATGATCTTGTTGTTGTTGTTGCTGTGGTACAATTGCATTGTTGATGATAAGGAAAAGGTAACAGAATACTAACTAAAAATGGCGGTGGTAATAATTCTAAACAAGTGATTAAATCATGAACCATACACTGTAAAAATAAATAAAATAAAATTTAAACAAAACTAAAAATATGATAATAGAATATTTTTTAATGAATAAATCTTCCTGATACTTTTAAAAATTATGGCGATTGTTCAATCTGTAATTATTCTATATCACAAACTGACTATTGATCTCAATCGATGAGAGTGGATTTAACCAATCACATTTGATTTAAATGCTCACAACGATGACTCATTTACGCCTAGACTGACTACCACCTATTTTAATCCTTTTTATTTATAACCACATCGGTAATATAAACATACATAATTAATTCTTTATTATTGATTTATTTTATTGTCATTGTTGTTATTCAGTAAATTTTTGCTTATTAACTCCTATTTTCTAGTTTGTACTAATTACATGGTTATGCTATTTTAATTGGAGCTTTGCTAAGACTTTGTATGAAACAATATCAGGGATTTATTCAAGAAATTCATTTATAGGCAAATTTGACTTCAGTTAAATAGCCATTAAAAACCAGGGAACATTGAACAGGTATTTTATCATCAAAGTATTGGACTTTCCATCAGTATTCATTCACCAGTGGATCTTACTACAAATCGAAATGAAGGCATTCACATGCAAACAAGGAGTGCTTAACCTTCAGATCATTGAGTCAGCATCCCATCGTTTACATTTTTAATATCAGCAAGTTCATGATACTATGTGAACGTGTAATATTATCGAAAGGTAACTGCCTCACATTTTGCTACAGGACCTGGAGATACTCAATGGCTAGCGAATGCATAACGATGAGGAGTTTCATATTAGCATGAAACGGTCATTCAATGTTTCATGGTTTTTGATGATAATCTAACTTAAAATCAATCCATGATTCAATGAAACATAATGCTTATGATTCAAAAAAGACATTTTAAACAAATAAGGAAGACGGTTAGCTGTCTCATGCTTAGAATTAAGATTTATAAAAATTAAAAAGTATGTATATGCATCTAAATTTAATCAAATCGATCAAACTGTCGAGTAGATTAATCGTTGATGTATTTGAAAAACACAAACTTAAAGTTACAATGATCCCCTCTTTCACTTATCGCTTAGTTTGATTGTAGTTGACTAAAAAAATCACTACTAGCTTTCTAAACAATCAAAAAAAAATTGGCTAGGGGCTGAGAACATCGGTCTGTAACTTGATAAGTATGAACAGTTTCTTAACTAGTCTAATTAGGCTAATGGACTGGAAGACTGGAATGTTAAGAGAAGAATACTGAAACTAACCGAATCACAGTGCCTTCAAATGATCTGGTTGAGATTTTTTATTTGACATTTCTACGTAACCGATGATTGGAAGCATTGTGTAACATGTTCATTGAAATTGGTTTCACAAAATTACTTTTTATTTTCTTAATCCATATTGTCGATGCATATATATATATATATATATATATATATATATATATATATATATATATATATATATTTGTATATTCCATATCCTATTTTATTTGTGACTAACAGTTTACTTTTACGCAGTTAGAGATAATTCATAACAAGACTTGTTTGATTAATGTTTCATTTTAGTTAGTAGTACTCATTAGTGCGTTTCAATTAGAATAATTGGAAATCTAGTTGGGACATTGAGACGACTTTGGAGGTCGCCAGGTCAAAAGATACTTTTCCTTATGCTTAAAATTAGTGTTTGCTAGAAATAGTTGGTTTTCTGAGCACAGTTGCAACAGATGGTCGCCACTGTCTGTTCTCTGAGCCGCGACACCATAACATACACCTAGGTGTTTCTCATTTTCACTTAGTCTACCTACTTGAGCATTAAAGTCACCAGCCATTATTACTACATCAGAGCGCCTAGCTTTTTGGAGGAGGTTCGAAAGCTTTCTGTAAAACTCATCTTTCACCTCGTCTGAACTGCAGTCAGTGGGGGCATAGGCAGATATGACGAAGTCAGTCAGTCAGTCAGTTGCAACGTAGAACTTCGTACGTATGTACATCAATTCAGGTTGCCATACCACATTATTAGCACAGAAACGCAAATGTCAAATCAAATCCCATAGTGATAAAGATAGTAGAGGTATTAATGTTAATAAAGAAGACTAGTGTTCGAAGATATTATTCAAGAAATATAATTCAGTGAGATAAGGTTAGAAAGACAAAGGTAGAGGTGCTGACGATTCCAGAAGATTAGGATTTGAGAGAGCTCAAAGAGTGGATGCACCTGCGCCATTGCAAACGAATTTGAGCCATGTCGTTCAAGGTCTCTAACCATTGATGACTTTCGTCTCGCGGACCCCAACCAGGTAGTCTACATCTACCAACATGACTCAGTCCCCTTGTCAGTGACACACTCGCCGTTGCCTCTTCGTCATATCTGAATATGATATGACGAAGAGGCAACGGCGAGTGTCCCTATCCTTCCGAGTCCTTACTGTCCCGTTTAGTCGGACAGTGCACAAGCGACTATCTACTGGGATCCATTCTCGGAGAGACTATTCGGCTCTACGACTCAATGCTATGCCTACGCCAGCAAGACCCCTGAACGTAGCAGCAAGGCTACCAGATACACGAAGAGTAAATCGAGCTGCTTCTTTATTTTGAAAAGGTGAAATCAGAATAATAATTTTACTGGGATCCCGTATGCGCGTTTCCGAGACACAGCATACATCGATGGCACAAGATTCTAATGTTCTAGCTAAGGAAGTCAGTAACGAATGAAGTCAGCTTTAAGCTAATTTGCTGTTGTAAATATGAAAAGTTCCGAAGAGCACAAAATTCTAAATGACTAGCTAGGTTTATGCATGTTTCATATTCAAAGAATGTTAAAATAAATTAACTTTACCTTAATACGTTTTACTGAATCCGGTAGAAGTAATGCACCAGGAGGTAGACGCATCAATGTACGCAATAAAGGTATACCATCAATTAAAGCCATTGCTGATATTGGCCAACATGAAGAGTCAAGATAAGGGAAACTACTGCTGCTACTACTACTAGTACTACTACTGATGTTAGTACTAGTAGTTAAACGTGTTGTAACTGAAAGATTACTATCAGATTGATTTTTGAATGATGTTGTTGATTGATTTGTAAATAGATAGGATGTTGCATATAATTCACCAAGTAGTAAAGATAATTCAATACGAACTGCCGGTAATCGTATACCACTGGAGCCATATAGATCACAGAAATTAATTAATGATATTAAAAATGTTTCATGAGCCTGAACACGTGCACGTGCGCACACACACGGGAAGACAGAGGATAAATGAGAGAAACACAATAATAATAATCATAATAACGATTCGATTAAATAGTGATCAATAGTAATCAATAAATAGGTAAGAGGTTTTACAAACACCTCATAATCTAAATATGCATCGTACAGATTTAAAAAGAAACAAACACAATTTACTTATGATCAATCAGAGAAAAAGATTAAGTACTTTTATCGTTATGTTATTTGAATTTCATTCACTTTTTAAATCTCTGAAAATTGCATACATTAAATGATAATAATTTGTAGGTTTTATATTTCTTGAGCTTCTGATAGCAAGATGATGACGCTTTCATTGTGTTTTACCGAGAAACATCAAAGTATTCATTGTGAATGATGTGCAGCATATAGGAATAACAGTGACGGTCAAATCAAACATACAGTTGCAAAATAAAAAAAAGAATTTATTGATACATTGATCCTTTTTTTGTTTATCTATACACGTCAGTTTAGAAATTCTTGATAGTTTTATCAGAAATTACCATAAAAAAAACCTTAATGAGTCTGTCTACATAAGTCATAGTTATATATAATTGAGGGAAAAACAAACGTACAAACCAAACGCGTCACTGAAAGGTCGAATGAAGATACTAGATGCAATTATCTATCAAAAAATGTGAACTATTCCCAAGTAAATCATACAAAAAGACGAAGCAATCACCGAACATCTACTGATTTTTCTTTAACAGTAGTATAAATAATTTATCAATCTATTATACTCGTCTCTAGGTATGCTTAAGACTATTACGGGTTCGTTCACCTTAGTCAAATAACGAGAACAAAACAATGAACCAGCGTCCACGTAGGCAGGCTACTGTGATCCGATTGTCCCAACTGTACCAGCAAGAAGTCTTGATAGAGTGTAGAAAGTGTATTCTAAAAACACCCAGTCAGCACACAATGAATCCAAACACACAAATCGCGTTTATTTATACTCCATAGAGTCGTCCTTGGGATAGTCACAAAATAGCACACTAAAAAGGACACAGTAACCAATCACAGCCAAGGATTTTCTTGGTGGGAAATGTGATGTCAAGGCCAACTAACTGATCGGTCCATGAAAAAATGCAAAATAAAGATATTTATCAAGCGAGTTCTGGGGATCTAACATCTCCAACATAATCCGAAAAAGTGACTTTTACAGATTCAATAAGATTAAAACTTTTTTTTAGTTAAAATGTTTAGAATGATGAAAATTAAAACCGCCATCATCATCATTATCATCATAAACACAACATACTTTTATCCAATCATAACGTGTTCTTAATCGTTTTAATTCTGCATCACGAATTTCTGGTGAAACATTTGATAAATTCATAAAAATACCAGCTACAACAGAACCAACATTTTTTGTAGTCAATAAATATGAAGTTGTAGTTAATGGACCAGACAATTCGAAATAATCTAATCAACAGAAAATAAAACAAAACAGACAAAATGGTAGAAGAAAAAAAAACAAGGAGGAGAAATTGATAATATAATATATATAATATAATATATATATAATATATTATATATATATATAATATATAATATAATATATAATATATATATATATAATATATATATAGATACGCATTGAATTCAGATATCCTACTGCAGAGATTCAGGATTGAGTTTAATCAGCCTCCGTTAGTATATGAGCATATATACTGGATCGCCTTTATGATGCTGTTAGTTAAAAGTTTCGAATGAATATGGACTGTGGGAAGCAGTAGAATACAAGACAATCATTTCTTCTTCAAGGCTCATTAGTTGGATATACCTCTGCATACCGAGACTTCAAGTCAGTACGTATCGTTCTAGAATATTAGGATGTACGAACATCAAGTTAATGATATTCCAAATAAGATGAAACGAGCTTCATAGATCCAAAGACCAGTCACAATATATTGTTACTGATTATGATTATACTTTCCTTTGTTCGCAAAATAAAACAATCAAACAAGCATGTACATTATTTAAGATTCTGATTGTGAATATTTAAACTACAATATAGGCGGACAATAATGTCTTCACTAAGACAGTCATGAACATTTATATTAAAATTCTAAATCAATCAGGGTAGTTTACTAGCAGGTAGCTTAACGAACGAATGAGTGAACATTTACCAGCACAGATTAGAAAGGCCCAGAAAAGTAAACAGTACGCAGCTCTATCTTGACACACCTGGTCGATAGTAATCATAATATAGATAAGACCTATTCATTCCGGATGATCTATCGTATATCTGCATCATTTCCCAACATAGTTCAATTCCGTCTCCTACATATAGCAGAATCCAAAGGAATCCGAACATTCAACCTCAACATATATGCAGAAGAGATTCGTGACACGCCCCTATCCCTTCCTTGGTCGGATATAACTAAATCAAAACGATTTTATTTTATTATTATTATAAGTATTATTTTCACATTCTGTATCTGTTTGTCAGTTTTTTCCATCTCTTTCCGGTCATATTATTCACTATCTATTATTGACACACTTCTTATTACGTCATTCTAAAAGTGCTTTGTGATTATTGTTAATGTATAACTCTGTTTAGCCGACTTTGACCTACTACTACTTCCAATGTTGAATTATTGACAAACAATTTGTGTTATTGTATTTTATCACTAACAGTACACCTGTCTTATTTACAATCAACTTTTTGTTATAATGCTGCTACGTATAGCTATTCAGTCCTAGCGACGTCCAATTCAAATATCCCAGTACGACCCAAAGACTATTCCCAAATCTCCTATATATCAGAATGCAACACCGTGGGATAGAGTTGTTTATTGGGTCGAGTACAGAAGAGAGGTAGGCAGGAAGAAACGGAATCGAAATCATGAAGTCTTACAGATAGTGCGTATTTATACGTTTAGGTCGAATAGAAAAGAGCATCAAAGTCTGTGACATCGACAGTTTAGGACGACCAATCGGAAAGAACATTTGAAATGACATTGACAGTCCGGATGACCAATAAGAGACAACATTGAAGTATTTGACTTTGACAGTTAAAACGATCATAATTTTGACCAATAGGATTATACTTCCAAAAATAGTACTCTTAGGATATTTGGTGAATATCCTAACACTTTTACTTTTACCTATTATGTGGAGTTACATAATCTATTTCATCATGATTATTGACTCATACCAAATTGCCTTGATTGATTTAACATTTTCCTGTAAATATGCATGTATATTAGAGAGTAAAAAGCCTAATGACAATCGAATTGAAAACAATGATATGTTGTTCGCTTATTTATCTGTATTGTTCTAAACATATGCAAAACACAAACCAAAAAACTCACCGAAACTAGATTCATTCACAGTTTCATCAGTATCAACAGGCAGATTGAAAGAAGAAGGAAGAGTAGTATTATTGTTATTATTATTCAAATGACTTGTAGTAATTGTAGTTGGTATTGTTGTTGTTGTTGTATTAGATTTTGTCAAACCAGTTAATTTATTGACAATAGCTAATTCATTTTCAAGCCATTGCCAAACATGTTGACGAAGTGAAACACCTTCAGACTATGAGTGATGAAAGAAAAAAGAGGTAAACAATACTACTACTACTAATAATAATAATAATACACTTATTGTATTGCAAGCATAAATACTTTTGTCAAGTAAGATCAGTAAAATCAAGAAAAAAAAACAAAGAGAGATGGGATACAGTTAGCTGGTTAAATCATTGTCACCTTTAGTGATAGGATACACGTTGTACGATTCAAACTGAGGTTTGGATTGAGGAATAACTGTCTAGGTAGTTTAGATACGCGTCCTGCCCAGTTGATTTGGATAAATAACGATTCTAATATTCATCATAAATATAAATATACATCATCATTACCTAAACAAATATTACCACTTAGTTATTCCAACAACAATTGTTCAATTAATCAAATCAAGAACAACAACAACAACAACAAATAAATGATATTCTATCACTCCTGGATAGATCAGATTCGTTAGACAGATAATATTCGGTTGGTTAATAGCACGGAGTGTTTCCTATTCTGGAAGAGCGCTTCAATTCACATTCAATTTGCATTATTCCAGTCAATGCAAGCGACACAATCAAAAGAGGAACAAATCAATATGGCTGTCGCCATGACTAAGTATCAGCTTAAACGACATAAATACAGCTGATAAAGATACATAGAAACTCAGTAAAGGCACAAAAGAAATCGAAACTATAATAAACTAAAAATATTATCATCTCAAAAAATGGAATCGAACAGATTAACAAAATGTACAACTGAAGGAGCCAGTAAAGACAAATTACAAATATATGCATGGAGGGATTTTCACAAACAAAGCCTTCAAAGAAATAGATCTTACACATGTCCTCATGAATTTGTAAGCAATTTTCCAAATGTATGACATGGATTGTTCTATATATTTACTGAATGAATTTATATGTTGGATATTTAAAAAAAAGTGTAAGCTCTGTTGAGGTTTTCATTTCAAGAGTTGATCATATAATTTATTTGCATTACGTGGTTGTGAAGATTGTTAAGTTACACATCTTTGAAACCATGAATCGATCAATGTTAGAATACCATTTATTTGCTTATTTGTTCTTCATTCACTAAAAATCAGGATAGATTTCAACGGATCAATAAACAAAGTTGTCCGATGAGATGAGTTTGACCTTATTAACCTATGAAGCTTTCTGACTAATTCCTAATTTCATACGGGGGGGGGAGGGGAGGGGAATATTTATTCATTGAAGTGTTTGTAGTATGTTAGCTGTCTAGTCTGTTTGATTCATGTAGTAGATAAAAATCGATATTTTTTTTATCATTGAGAATTTGCATGGATTAGCTAAAAATCGGTTCAAATATATAATGTAATAAAGAGAAATGGGATAATATTTTTTGAGGGAGTAGAAAATGGAATAGTAGTATAATAAGTAGAAGAGAAAAAAAACAAATGAATCAGGGAGAAAAAAGTACTTGTTAAAAAAACGGATATTGTTCAACTTCATAAATAAACTTAAAATGAACAGAGTGATTATGGAAAAGTTATACACTAATCAATAACCTCGTGAAGATAAATGTCTTTAATATTACAAACTGATCATAATGTCTTTATCTTTAGTGAATAAAATACATCATGTGAACGCTTGTGAGGGGGGGAGATGACGATGATAATATTTACTGGTCATTAACACAGATCATAGTATTCATCATCAAGACATGATGATATATATGAATGCAAGTAATCAGAGATGAAATGGACAACGTCAATGTAATTGAATAAGTTTCCTTTATGAGAATTAGACTATTAACACTATATTAGTCAACATACAAACAACAATATCATTTCAAATTAATTGAAACATTGAAAACTAGGTTGATTTGTTTTAAAATGATAAAAATAATGAAGTTAAAAAAAATGAAAATGAAATAATCATAAAAAAATGTCTTACTTCAGCACCAGCAGCCAATGTACTTAATTCTTCTACTAAAATTTTTAAACAAGCAATAAATTTCAATTGATTTGCCATTAAATCCACTACACCTTGATCTTTCAAAAAAAAGTAGAAAATAAAACTTTGTCAACATATTTCACAGAGAATAAACAAAACAGTAACATTGTATCAATAAAATAAAATATTTTATGAAAGAATGACCAGTGAGAACATTGTCAGCTAGTTAGTTAGTCAGTCAGTCAGCTACAACGTGGAACTTCACACGTAAGTAAATCAGTGCATAAAGGAATATCTGAAATATATTGATCATGTACAACAATCTTGCACTAGTTGAGATTGATTCTTCGGTTGGTACGTGTATGTACAACAGTTCAAGTTGCCATACCATATTAGCACAGAGACGGAATTGTCAATTCAAATTCCATAGTAGTAGAGGTAGCAGAAGTATGAGCAGTAATTGGAAAGATTAGTGTGTGAAGATGTTTGTTATTTAAGGAGTATACTTCAGTGAAATAAATTTCGAAATGGGGAAAGATAGAGGTGATGAGGAGTTCAGATTAAAATGTGAGGGAACACAGAATGGATGCACCTGAACCACTGCAAATGATATTTAGCCATGTCATTCCAAGTCTCTAACCACCGATTACTATTGACTCATGGACCCCAACGAGGTAGTCGACACCTACCAGCATCGCTCAGTCCACTTGTCAGTGACTTCATGGATTTCTGGAATGTTTTGGTCTGGCCGCTCCTAACTTTCTTCCAACCTGCTCCGACACCACAAAACATCGCTCGTCGAGGCAGTAGGTGGTTGAGCATTCGTAACACATGTTTAAACCACCTCAAACGATGAACATTCATTATTTCATCTTTTCGTCTACAAACCTTACCTAGTAGCCCCTTTTCTTAACAGCAGCATTGCTTGCACAGTGGTCCTAGAATATACAAGCAATACTTCGAAGACACCTATAGTCGAATACTAGTAACATAGGAATATCCTCTATTCTTAATGGTCTTGTTTCACAGCCATGGCCATACACACACACGCACACACACGGATGAAGAGGTATCCATGAAAATGATTTCGAATATCGATTATTATTATTATTATCATATGGTAAACGTATTCATTCAAAATGCTTAAAAAAGAAACAATCTAGACTAGTTAATTCAATAGTTCTAGATACCAACAAAAAAAAAAGAATACTAAATATTAGATTGAATTAATTCATGAAAAAATTATTGATCAGCATGGTGTGGATTACAAATGATCAAATGAATAAAAATCGGATTATTCGGAATTGAAGAGTTTAATTTAATGGTTGAAAGATCAACACTTCAAACAATCAACCATCGCACTATATTACACAGAAAAAAAACAAATGCAATAAAAAATCATTTAGATTTGATGATCGAAATAGTTTTGAACAATTGATTGAAAAAAAAACTTTCGTACTAGTCAAAGCGGTAGTTTATTGATCAACTCCCTCTTAAGAGATGGTGAACCTAAGATGTTGGCGATACACACACACACACATACAACCAGCTTACTACTTATTATTCCAGTGCTTTCAGGTTTCTCTAATGGTGATCTAACATTGATCGATTCATGCATGGTTTCAAAAGATGTGTAACTTAACAATCTTCACAACTCTGTAGTGTATTAATAATATTATTATATTACAAAAAATATAATTTAAACTGAGCAAAGTCTTTGTGTGTTCAAAGTAGATTATACTCATAGACTTGGATGAATTTATGTGAATTAACATAGTTTCTTATAGGGATTATTGTGCAAATAAAATCGAAAACAAAATGAAAGATTATCTAGATCTTATTATGAGAGACAAGTTAAGGAGGAAAAAAAACTAAGCATAGCTAGCTGATTACTAAAATACTTGAAATGGATTATTCAAAAAAAAATTATCTATTATGCAACAAAGCAGTAACTATAACTTGATGTTTAGGTTTAATTATCAGAAATATCTATTTAAAATACAGATTTATATAGGATTGCTACATGTAATTAAATGCATAGTCAAGGGTTATTGCATGGTTACATGGTAATTTCATTGGGAAAAGAGGAAGACCAAAGAACAGATTACACCGAGTATTGGAGACATATGTGAGAAGAATGAATACCAGTTGGATAGAACTAGAGAACAAGGCCCGGGACAAAGTAAGTTGAAGAATGCTGGTAGGCGACCTATTTCTTCAATGGGGGTTACAGGCTTAAGCAAAAAAGTAAGCTCCAGCGTTTACATCTAATTCTGAATCATAACACCAATTGTCAGAAGTCTGTCAACAAAAAGAAGATCACTGAATTTTATAGCTGATTCTATTTTCAATGAATAAAATCCTGATCCTCTTATAGTTTGACTTCTCACATCTAATTTTAATCTCTTCACACTTTAGTTGATGTCAGTTTGTAAAGAAAATCTTACCACTAACCTCATATGAGTTAGGGCCTTAACACCGGCGTTATATAACAACACTAGACCAACACTTAATAAGCAAAACCAACCAATTTCCTGTTACGATAATAAGCAACTCAACAGGAAACGATTTATCAATCATTTCAACATTACTTATCCATTGTAATGTAATTGTTTTTTTTTCTTGTTAACTGTTTTATAATCAAGTACCTTTTCCTGAATAACCACTGATAAATCGTTAAAGGTTGTCAGTTTTAAATTATCCATAAAAAATGAGAAACAGCATCAGTACTCACTTTCAATATTAACACTATCCACTGAACAAAGTGAATGTCGTTGTTGTGCTGATGATGATGATGACTGACGTTGTTTTTCATTTGTATGAACAGTACTACTTCTTACATGATCAGTAGTATCTTCTTTTATTGGTTGATCACCAGTATCATCATTATCATCATCACTCCATTCAATTGTAAATTGATCTTGTAATTTAGTTGAATTATATTTTTGTAAAGGATCATCATTTATGATTAATGTGAATAGATCAGCATCATTATCTATATTTAAGTTATCACTATGAGTGTTTTAACAAAAAAGAGAGAGATTTAAAGAAATGTATATATATTTATGTATGTTCATGGATAAACAAATTCATGATTTCAAATGTGTAAAAAACACAAATCTTCAAAGCTCTAACTGAAAATATCGTAACATGTGCTCACTAGTGACTAGCTTTGTGAGGAAATTCTCGCAGTTCTAGTTGAGAAGACGTGATCAATGGAGTTCAACCCTGTTGGGTGTAGGCAGTAACTATCAAAGACAAATAGGTGAGGTCGCGCAAAATCCCTAGATCAATCACAGTTAGACATTAACACCGTTGGATGTCGGCCCAGTGGTCCGATGGTTAGGCGTTCACACACAATACCGAAGGTCTCGTGTTCGAATCCTGCGATGAGCAGGAGTCGTGGATGAGCACTGCTGATGAGTCCCATACCAGGACTAAACAGCCGTCCAGTGCTTCCAGGTTTCCAATGGTGGTCTAACAATGATCGATTGATGATTTCAAATGTGTAAAAAACACAAATCTCCAAAGCTCACCTTCAACTAGGTTGAAGGTGAGACAAATGTCGTAGATGGGGATTGAAAATGACTATATATTATTACGGATCGACTTAATTCAACAATTAAAAACAATTAGTCCCTTTTATAAAGTTTGATAGAACAGTGAGAAGATGTAACTGATCGGAAAAATGTTGGGATGTATTTGCGCTATACATATTTCGATCAATCTGGTCATACATGTACACTTGTCAAGGCATTTTATATGAAGATTAATAAAAGGTCAATTAAACAGAAGTTCAAATAGGCATAAGGTGATAAATGTAAATGAAGGAGAGAGGAAATTAACGTAATATGGAAAGAATAAGAAAGGGTAGAAAATCGTAGCATTTAAGATGTAAACCACTAGATGTCAACTGAGCGATAAAAAAGTGCTTATTACAAAGGTCGAAGGTTCGATTTTTGATGATGTATTGGCTGCACACAGCCAAGCCTCATACAAAGAAGAAATTGTTAGACTATCGTGTTGTCATTCGACTGTTTACATCCATAAATTCAAGTAATCTATGACACCTAGCGACTAGTTTTCAATTTTATTTATGGGTAACTGCTTCATATTTCACATAATTTAAAAATTAGCGGTTACAACTTCTCACTGAAACTTCCAAAATTAAACACTATTGAGCACTTAGTTAGTACTAAAGCCAAGTCTGCTACTAGAACTGCTGATGCACAATACAATTTTTGTCAAAAATCAAAAGCTGGAAGAAAAGCAGAAGAAATCTTTACTTCAGTAAGTGTTAAAATGTATAGCGAAAACAAATGCACTGATAGCTTTTCGTGCTGAGTGAAAACATCATTAAAATCATCCAATCATCAATTAGCGGTTACAAGTTATCATCCGAACAGTTTATGCCATATCGAAACTCTGAATGTCCTATCGAACCGTGATTTAATGGAAGCTCTTTGGATCCTCAAGAACCTCTGGAGATATCTGAGAACTATCCCAACAACCAGCGTGATAGGTTTTTGAAGAGATTTTTGAACTTCATGGTATCCGTCAGCTTAGCTGTACGACAATTAAACAGCGGGAGGAAATAGGCAGCTATTTTGTTCTTAAATGAGACTTCTTCGAAGTACTGCTGAGGTCGATAGGCCAACATGAAAAATTACCATTAAATAATAAATATTATTTAGAGTTCTGGATCAAAATTCTTATCTTGACGCTTACATTTGAGCAAACGAAGCAATTACAAAGAGTTTGCAATGTGTCACAGTTATCTTTTGAAGAAAATAAAGAAAGAAATGAAGAGAAGAAAACAACATTCTCTAATAATCAAATTCTCAACCACTCATCGAAGTGAAACTGCATCAGATCAAGAGTTGGCGGAGACGGAGAGAATTTTATGGTAAAGGGAGTAGTAGCACTATGTTATGAATCAAAAGTTTAGATAGGGAAATGAAGCGTAAATACATTTAGTATCATGTATCATGTGTATTGCTCGCAAATGAAAGTCATTGTTTTCGTATGTCATTAGTAATTAACAGATAAATCAATTGGTAAGTACATATTTGTGTCGGGTATTTGAAACTGGAGAGCTGAAAACTCAGATATTACAACTGGTTTAACAGAACATGATCAGAACTAAGGACTGGATAAGCATGGCATTGATCAAAAAGCAATGATTACATAAGCAACGGATATTGATACTAACCACTTATCCTAAGCTAGGTTAACTGTAGCAAGGTAAAAACCTGGTGTGTGGTAGTATGAAAAGCATTTACTTAAATGTGCAACATCGAAAATGCTTTGACAAAAACCACCCTCAAAAGCAGTTTATGTTAAGGTGGAGCTTTGTAGTTTTTTGATGGAGATCCGATGAAATATCAAAAAACTGATAGACAAACTTTTATTGATTAGTAAGTTTGTGTTCTGAATTGGCAGACATCAATCGAATGTTGTAGGGATGATGTTTATGTAAGTGAGAGGACGAAAAGCAAGTGTCTGGCTAAGGTTTAAACCGATCGGGTGGTTTGGCAGATCCATCTAGGGCAGCTGGAGAATCCTCATTCCAAAATGTGTTTTTGGATAGTGAAGGAACGAATCGAGTGTGAACCTATTGTTACCCACTGGCTACTCTATGGGACTGAATTTCCCAAAGTTGCTCCATTGCCGTGTGAACTAAATCTCTAAATCAAAGGTTCGGGACATAGTTTCTTAGGAAGATCACCTGCTTCGATTTGGATACCCAAGCGGTATCCGACCCCACGAAAACTCATTGATTTGTGAAGCGCATAAATATTTAGGTACCCGTTTGCACCAATGCTTATGGGTCTAAATGAACATGTTTAGACAATGAAATAAACATACTTTTGTTTGTTAATTGATTGACCGATAATATCGGAAGTTGGTTTCAATTGATGCTTTGGTGTATTTTTCATCGATTCATTATTATTAATTGACATCCGATGCAAATTGAATGTAGACGATGCATTGAAAAATTCCAATGGTGGTAATTTAGTCAATACATCTAATGCTAATGTTGGACAACCTAATATAAAATAATGATGAGCAGTACGAAAGTATAAACGTCTTTCTAAACATTTTACACGATATAATATGTTAGAATTTAATAGATTTGGAGTTTGTAAACGTTGATGACGTAGCACTAATGGATGTGATTGTAAATAGGTGTAGAATTTAAAAACACTTGGACATACAGATGATGATGATGATGATGATGATGGTTTTGAAGTGTCATTACCAATTGCAGAGCATTGACTATTATTAAGATATTGTGGATGTTGTGGACTTTGAACAATGGAATCGGTTAAACTATCTTTCCGATCAGAATTATTTGATATTCCAGGTCCTTCTAGCAATGTTTGCAAAGCAGCTAATGGATCACCCTAAAAATGTGAATAAAATGAGAAAAACAAGAGAGCTGAATATCCGTCAAGAAATATCTGAATTAAAAACAATTATTTTCCATTATAGTATTATGGAGATTGTCGTTTTATCTGGAAATCATGAATGAATCATTGTTGGGTCACCATTAGAAACTAGGAAGCACTGGACAGATGTCTCGTCCTGGTACGGGACTCATCAGCAATGCACATCCACGACTTATGCTACTCGCAGGATTAGAAACCGGGACCTTGGGTCATGCGCACGAATGCTTAACCTCCGGACGACAGAGTCGGCATCAGAAGGTGTTAATGTCTAACTCTAATCAATTTAAGGATTTTTCACAGCCTAACTTTATTGCCTTCGGTAGTTACTACCTAAAGCCGTCAGGGTTGAACTCCAATAACATCACGAAGCTAGTGAGGTTGCGCAGAATCCTTAGATTGATTAGAGTTAGACACTAACAATGTTGGATACTGGCTCAGTGGTTCAGAAGTTAGGCGTTCGTGCGCAAGATCGAAGGTCCTGAGAGTAACAGGAGTCGTGGATGAGCACTGCTGACGAGTTCCATACCAGGAAGGAACCGCCGTTGTGTTTCCAGGTTTTTAATGGTGGTCTAACAAGAATTCACTCATTATTTCAAAGTATTATTATTCATACAATAGATAAGTTCTTTTCGATAGTACAGTAAAGAAATGTCAGATGTCCAATTGTTAACAGACATGAAGTTAAATGTAACCCATTTATCGAATATAAGTATTATATACTCCTCGAACATAGCTGATACTTTGAAGTAATGATTAAGCGATAGCGATATATTGCCCAGGAAGATTGTGCCTTGAGAACCCGCCATGCCAGCCAGGTTTTTTGGAGAAAATTAAAAAGAAAAGCAGCTGTCTAAGCTTTAGGGACGAAGACGTATCACCAGCAGTTATAAATTTAAAGTACGGAAGTAAAATATCATTAAAACCTCTCACGAAATGCCCACATGACCGGTTTAAGGCAGTTGCTCTTTAAATTATGTAGTCACACCCCTGAGTAAACATAACCACTAAAAAACCGGTTTCTTTTCCAAATGCCTCCAAGAGAGAGATCCTGCCACGCCACGATGTAAGCAGCCAACTTCAAAACTCGAACATCATTCGAGATTCTCTTGTTCGCAATCAAATTCTTCAGTCACATTTTACTGTTTCTTATATTCCAATTATAAAATCTATGTCTACGGCTTTACTCTTATTCCCAGTGATTAATGTAGCAGTGGCATGATATGTGTGTTTATCAACCATCTATGTTTTACCTGTTATATTAAACTAGGATAGTATTACTTTCATTATAGCGTTTAAGCTTACTTTCAACTTTTTTTGGCTTGTTATTGAAAATTTATTACCTTTTATCATAAAAAAAATCTTTAAAAGAAGCGAAAATTACAAAGGATAAATTAACTAACTAACTAATTAACTAACTAACCAATGTCCAAAATGCCATACTTCGCAAAAATGGATCTTGATGTTTAATCAAATGTTGCCTTAGAAAATCATGATATGCAGAGGATGTTGTTGTTGGTTGACCTGGCATACCTTGAGCTGATGATGTGTACAGCCTGTCAGTATTGGGAAAAAAATGCGCCGAAAAAATTAAAATTGATAAGAAATGTGGAAAGGAGAAGATGGAAATAGGGTTCATTAAATGAAGTAAAAAGCACTGGGTTTATTATTGATCAGATACTATCGAACAGTATGTAATACGATCGGCTAGTAATCTAAGCGATTCAACACCGTGTGCATTCTTTCAATGTTAGATGATTTGAAGTTAGTCATCAGGAGACTGTGTACCCGAATTTCATACTAACTGGTGCATGTCTGTCAGTTATACTTGTTATTTTGAAGGAACTGATGCTTTCTATATGATTCATGCTCATGTACGTACTGATACTTTGTCCTAGTATGATTCTCTTTACCAGTAAGTATACACGACCCCACAGTTAGTCAGTCAGTTGTAACGTAGAACTTCATACGTATGTACATAAGTTCATGTTGCCATACCACATTAGCACAAAGACGCAAATGCCAAATCAAATCCCATAGTGATAAAGATAGTAGGGGTATTAATGGTAATGAAGAAGACTAGGGTTTGAAGATATTATTCAAGAAGTAGAATTCAGTGAAACAAGGTTAGAAAGTCAAAGGTATAGGTGCTAACGAATCCAGAAGATTAGGATTTGAGAGAGCTCAAAGAATGAATGCACTTGCGCCATTACAAATGATTTTGAGCCATGTCGTTCAAGGTCTCTAACGATTGCTGACTTTCGTCCCGCGGACCCCAACCAGGTAGTCTACATCTACCAACATGACTCAGTCCACTTGTCAGTGAATTCATGGACTTGTGCCATGTTTTTGTTTAGCCGCCCCTAACTTTCTTCCAACTTATTCCTACATCGCAAAACATAGCTCGACAAGGAACTCTGTGATTAAGCATACGTAACACATGTCCCAATCACCTCAACTGATGAAGTTTCACAACTATTGATCTGCCATCCTTACCTAGTACTCGTTTCCCAACGACAGAATTGCTTATTCGGTTGTCCAACGACCCCACACTTAGGATTAAATCCGGTCAACAGTCTGAAACTACTAATCAGAATGACACTTTTAAAAATCATCACGAAAATATAATAGACTACTTGGATTATAAGTCATTTCAAACGAAAAATCTTCCAATCAGAGGTGAGAATCAGTGATCAAGAGTAAGATGATTGACGAATTAAATATGTTTATTGTTTAATTTAATATTTATTTCAATGTTGATAAGACTAGTCATTAGTTATTTCAGCGTGTGGTACTGTTGTTGTATTCTGTTAATTATTCATTTAGTTTAAGAATCTGTTCATTTGTTTCGAGACCAAAAGGCCCTGGGGTTTGATTGTTGCATGCGAGGTCATGGATGCGAACTGCTGTTAAGTCTCATACAAAAATGAAACAGCTATCCACTGTTTTCAAGTTTTCAATGACGGTTTATAATTTTAGTGAAACATAAAATGTAGGCTTCATAGCTGCAGGCTAGGCTGATAGTTGGTGGGTTAAAATTGAAGGGATAATGTTGAGGTGTAGTTGCAAACAACTATTCACTGAGAGCACTCTTTCAGTGTTATTATATAAATGAATATATATATATATATATATATATATATATATATATATATATATATATATATATATTCAAATTAACATACCTGACTAGAACAATACCCAATTGTAAATCTTTCAAAGTATCCAAACAAACACGTACTGCATCATCTAAACATCCAGCCAATAAGAATAATCCAGCAGCTTGAAGATATTTATGTTGACTAAGTAAACGGAATGCATTTAATTTAGCTTGACGACATGCTGGTTGACCTGGTGTAAAATCGGATCGGAAGAAATTCTCCAATGTTTTATTCCCAGTGGTTCTGATATTTTTTTCGAAAAGGGTTAAAATAACAGAGAAAAAATTCGAAGTTGAATTTCAGCAATTAGAGAAACCAGTTATATGATACTTAGGGTATAAGTGTAGAATCCATCACAATTAATTCTGCTTTATTTTGTGTACAGACAAAGAGATTTAATTTGAACATTGTACATCACAAACAATGAAGTAGTAGATTCTTGGTTATGAACCACTTCATTTTTATAATCAGCGGATTACGGTTTGAACTTTATATTGTCTATTTTGCTAACGGTAAACGCATAGTAGTATTGTGGTGTGTACTACGTACGATGGAGCTTAGAAATAGGAAGCAGTGAATGGGTATCAGAGTGTCGGCCTGAAGTTACGGCCGAAGGGAAATTATGTCAGATCCAGATTTATGACACGATCTGGGTGTTTTGAATAAAAGAAGACATATGAAAAGGGGACACACAAAAGAACGCTTGTTCTACTATTGGATGACTTGTGAAAATGTGTACAATTTCCCGCTAGTAGATTGTGTGTTGTTCAGTCCTCTTTTGTTACAGTATCACTATGCCTTGATATCTAAAGTTCGGTTAGCTTATAACGGAGGACATGGTTCTTTAATGTGATGTCAAAAAACGTGCATGCACTGTGTACTACAAGTGATATTAAATACATAGTGGTCTATTGTATTCATGTCTAAACACTTATCGATGAGTGATGATCAATATGGCCAAAATTAAACGAAACATAAAACAATGTTAAAAAATGAGCGAATCATGAATACATTACGTAATCTTTTATGTGCAAATAGTTCTATATATATATATATATATATATATATATATATATATATATATATATATATATAATGAAGATAAACAACAGATTTGAGATTGGCTCATAGTTGAAACGTTTCTTAATAAGATATGCAACCAATTAAGCTGTATATGATCACAGTAAACTAAGTGAAATGATCAAGTGTATATATGATGAATTGTTTAGTGACCTGAGTTCTGACTGCAGATTTAGACGAAAGACTGTTATATATTACAGAAATAAATTTTCCGTCTAACTCAACAAGTATAATACATTTTGTTTGAGAATTCATTTGTGCGACAACGATCATAGGACGCAAAATATACCCACGCTGCACGCTTCGTTCTCCTGCATATCATTTTAGTGTATGTCTGTGCAGACGATTGCATGACACGTGTGAACTCATCAAACCGAACGCATATTTGGCTTCTTATTACCTCTGTCGCACAAACGGAGTCAACCTACATGTGATATACTGGATCAAAACTAAAGGTTTATATAACACTGGAGACATGAAAAGCTTTCTGCGGAAAAAAGAACATACCAAAGAGAAAGATCACCAATTGTTCAGTCAGAAAGTTTCTCAAAGAATACTAACACAGTCTGGAATAGTTGTAACATTTCACTGAGCATCTAAATGAATCGAACTCTTTTCAGTTAGAAATTTAATAGAGGCTATCATAAATGAATACAGGGTAAAATACTTTAAAAAAATAATGTCAATGACAACGAACAAGTTTTTTTCAACAAAAAAAGAGTGAAACAGAGAGAAAAATGTTTACTTGAATAATGCAGCCATCATTTTAGCTTTATGCATAGCCAAATAAAAAACAGCCGCTTCCATTGGATCTTTAGTAATTTGAAATGCTGTACGAGCCATCTATTAATGAGAAGCAAAATGAAACAAGACAAATGAACACATTTCAATTGATAACCTATAAAACAACATTAGCTGAACTAAATAAACTTTTTTTGTGATTTAAGCAAAGTTCATCTGACAATCAATGCTGTTTACAAATGGATCAAGGCTACTTTAACAAACACGAACAGGATCTATTAAGTGCTAGAAAAGGCACTCAATTAAGTGATACAAATGTTCGACTATTAATCTCCAACGATGGAACCTAAAGGGAAGGAGGCAAGGTATAAGGAAACCCTGATATTAAGAAACAGGAAAATTTGCAAACTGAAAGTCGTTATGGCGTTATTGACAACGATACTGACATTTGTCACACAAAGTCCCTAACTATTGGTTATGATTATCACGTGAACCAAAACCAGGTTATCAATACCGGCTTACATGGTTAAATCTAACTGACTTTGTGAACAGGTGCTATTCTGCTTCAGTCGCCTCTAGTTTTCTTTCATCGTCCTTCTCTTTTTAACCATACATTCCTCGTCGAAGTAAGCTGCCGCTAAGGATACTTCGTATATGTCACAACTACTGTAGTTGATGAAAACTAACTAGCAAAGCAATCAGTATGTCATCCTAACCTAGCACTACGTGCCAAAACTCGGTATCGCTCACAGAGTGATCCAAAAATAGACGAAGGATGCTTCGAAAACACCTATAAGCGAATAGAAGTAACCTATGAATATCTTCTCTCCTTAATGCCATGTCTCACATCCAAAAACCATAACGAAGCGAACTGATGCGCGGTAATCTTGTCATTTGGTTGGTAGACGGATATCATCTGCACCACAAGTGATGCAAGACAGTAAAAGCCAACTGAACTTTCTAAATCCTTGCCGAGGTTTTGTCAGATAACATACCATCACGACTGATGAGATTGCCAAGATAAGTGGGGCAGTCGACAGGCTCAACAGCTTCACTCCCTATCCCTGATTTAGGCGCCAATGCAAGCCAATTCCGAATCAGCACCATGCATTTGGAAAGAAAATCGCATCCCAAACATGACTTGCATTACTAAAGGTGGTCAATAGATTGCAGTCTTTAAAAGTCTTCATCAAACAGAACTATATAATGTGCGTATTCCGAGTCGATAAACAATTCTATTGGTAGGTGATCAAGTACTCAAAATTAAGATAATGAGAACAATATCTCTGAAAGAATGTCTATGAAAAAGTCAAATATGAAAAACCATATCTTCTTACACGGTCAAAATCAAAATTGCAGATTGGATAATGATCTAGTGTACAGTAAAACGAGAGCATTCTAAATGGTTAGCTGTGAAATCTAAAAGATGTGCATTGTTTTAATTAAAATCTGAATGCTGTAATCGCCTACTTATATGACGCTCACATTAAGACTTTAAAGCAGTAGGCATATCTAGTCGTACTTGCTGCTTGAATTTTCTCGTTGATATTATGGACTGAAATTGATTAGTCTCTAGAAGCGCATATATATGCATCCTGGGCAGGAACATTCTACTGATCAGTTCCAAATGGGACGAAATGAGCGTCCTAGATTCTAGTGATAACCATCATCTGACTCTTCACTTCATGCCTGTTACGTACTGGCGATATTGAGTCAATCAATAAAAGACGATTTAGCTAAAAGAGACTATCTATAACATAAGAAGAAGATTAAAATAACCATAACATAGAATACACCGTTTTGCACAAGCCACTGGCTGAGCGGATTCAATAGCTAAGTGGATAATAGGTTGGATGTTCGAAATAAAAGGCACTAACTTCAATTCCCTGTATGAACATCAATTCACAGATGCATGTAAACCCAGCTGACAAGTTCCAACTAAGAAGAAATGTAGATGCTTGATCTCACTGCTAATTACCGTTCAACACAGAAAGTAAATCTAATTGAAGAACACTGTTTGAAATAATGGTGGGATTGTATATATGATACTAGGATGTTATGTTTACATAATTTTTAGCATATTGATGATGATGATGATGTGTACTCACTTTTTCAGCGCAACGAATAAGAAGACTTTCACTTCGTATCCACCAACCACAACCATATCGTTTGAAATCGGCCCAATTTAATTCTGATGAATCAGCACCGCCAACTTCACTACCACCACCACCACTACCTAGTTGATTCGAAGCGATAGGCAATTGTGATAGAAGTTCTTCTTCTGAATCAGAATGATAAGCCCATACTAAACTGGAATTACTTAGACCAGAAGACTGAAATACAATGAAATTGTTCAATGTATTAATAATAGTAATATTAATAATTCTGTTGAGCAATAATTTTGTCTGTAATATTCATCGACCGGGTAGAAGTAAGCCACAACAAATTAACAAATGTACACAGAAATAATCTTATACACAAGAAATACGGAAGGCCATTGTGTATTATGGACGCATCTAATTTATTTCTACCTCATTAACCCTACTCTAGATTATCTCAGTATCTGTTGTTGTTAGGCTAAGATCCTCGCGTTTTGTATCAGGTGCTTAACCTTGAGAACCACTGAGTCGGTATCGATTCTCGATACAGTTAAATCAATTTTCGGCATCACTTAACTATAGTTATTTCATACCTACAATGGATAAATAAAGACCACTGGTCATAACTTCTCATTAGAACTCCAGAATCACCTCGTGGAATCAAGAACTAGTGGGGACACAAGATTATTTTTAGTATAAAAAATTGTTCATATTCTTGGTTAGACAATCGTTAAAAATCTGGAAAACTCTGATTGTCAATAATTACCCAACTAAGATAGATCATAGATATCTTCGAAGCATTGCTCGTATATCCTGGGACAACCGAGTAGACAATAGCGTCGTTAGGAGACGAGTACTAGATAAGGATGGCAGATCAATAGATTAAGTATTGAAACTTCATCAGTTGAGGTGGTTTGGACAAGTATTACGAATGCCCAACCACCGACTGCCTCGTCGAGCTATGTTTTGTGGTGTAGGAGTAGGTTGGAAGAAAGATAGTGGCGGCCAGACGAAAACGTGGCGCAAATCCATGAAGTGACTGACAAGTGGACTGAGTCATGTTGGCAGATGTAGGCTACCTGGTTGGAGTCCGCGAGACCAAAATAACTGATGGTTAGAGACCTTGAATGACATGGCTCAAAATCGTTTGCAAAGACGCAAGTGCATCCACTTTTTGTACTCTCTCAAATTCTAATCTCCAGAATTCCTCATCATCTCTATCTTTCTCTTTCTAAAGTTATCTCACTGAATTATACTTCTTGAATCATATCTTCGAACCATAATTTTCTTCATTACCAGTAATACTTCTACTATCTCTACCACTATGGGATTTGAATTGGCAATTGCGTCTCTGTGCTGATGTACTCATGTACGAAGCCCTACGTTGTAACTGACTACTGACTGAAGGTCAGTTTGAGATACAAACTAAGAAAATACAATGGTCTTTTACCAATACTTCACACCAATAATAATGTACAATACTGCGTTTGTAGAATAATTATTTTCTATTAGGCTATTCTTATGTGCATAAACACATATTACTTATACCTAATAAGAAAAAACAGAGTCTAGTAATCATCAGTGTTAAAGACAAAGTAATAAAAAACACTTACAAGAAGTTGTGATCGACGTGCAGGTGGTAATGTTCTACTTAAATAAGAATATAATTGAACTGTTAACAGGAAACGAAGGCCACATTCATCCAAACCTTTTTTTATATAAGGGCAAAAAAACAACAAACGATAAATTCAGATTAAATATTTTTAAAAAACAAATGGAATCGAAAAAAGTTTTTTTTTCAGAGTTCACCTTATTTTTGTTGAACGACTACAGCTGAAAAGTGAGAATCTCAGAACATTTGTTTTAACTTGGTGAAGGACCCCCCATCAGTAATGTGTTTCCATAACTACAACAAGAGATAAAACTTGTTACACTTGCTTAAAACTATTACGGGTTTACCTTAGTCGAGTAACGAGAACGAAACAATGAACCAGCGTCCCTTGACCCAAATGTAATAGCAAGAAGTCTTGATATAGCGTTGAAACTGCATTCTACAAACACCCAGCCAGCACACAATGAATCCAAGCACATAAATCGTGTTTATTTATACACCATAGAGACGTCCTTACGAGAGTCGCAAAATAGCACAGCAACCAATCACAGTCAAGGATTTTCCGGGGGGGAAATGTGATCTCAAGATCAAGTGATCAGCACATGAATTAAATCCAAAATAAAGATATTTGTTGAAGCGAGTTCTGGGCATCTAACATCCCCAAAAGAACTCGGGACGCCTAATGTTTGGACCACGAAGTCAGAGTCGAATAGGTTACATTTCCAGCCTTAATGAATTCGTGATATTCTACATTCGTCATATAATGATATTATTTGGGTAAATAGTCTTAAGGTTGACATGGATGAATTCTACTGGTAATGATTTCTCATTAGAATAACTGGAATCGTCTCTCTCTCTCTCCTAACCGAACAACCATTAAAAGTTATGATCAGTTCATAATAAAAACTAAGAAAGTCCCGATAATTCTCTGAAGTTAGTTATAATAAAAATACATAACTTTATCGTGTTTTGTTGTTGATATAGTACATATGTATACAGACGGACCTTAAATTATTTATAACTGAATGTCTAACGTAATATTCAGTGTAAATAAACAAAAATCATGTTTAAATAATAATAAAAGTTTGAAATAATTTTCTTCCTGAACAGCAAAAACGGTAACGGAAAATAGAAGAATAATTTGCATGTTGTCTTCTTTATGGGACTGATTTCAAAAGGGGTTTTGCAATAGCATTGAGAAATCCGATACTAGCATGAAACAGTTGTATAATAACATTTGTTACATTCAAATGGTATGCACAACTAACATTTATGTGTGATGTGTATAGAGCTTGTAGAAAAAACACAAACAAACAGGTCAAAATTTACATTTTATTATTCGTTTTTAAACTACCAAGCAAGAAACACCACTCTCTCTCACTCTCTCTATAGAATAAATGTTTATTTACTAATGTCAGTTAGTTTGTATTGAAAAAGATTCACTTTTTAAAAACAGAATAAATTTATAGTGTATATTTTAGTCAATTTATTTGCATTTTTGATTCCTCTCATTAAAACAACAACAACAACAACAACAGAAGCCATGCGTGATTACATAGTTTTCATTAAAAATACCTAATATATGTAAATCATATTTTTCTTATCTATTCTGATCGATAAACATGTCATCTTCTCGGTAGTTCAAATGTGTAAAAACACAAACCTCCAAAACTCTGACACAAAATATCGTAACAGTGCTCACTAGTGACTAGCTTCGTGAGGAAATTCTCGGAGTTCTAGTTGAGAAGACGTGATCAATGGAGTTCAACCCTGTTGGGTGTAGGCAGTAACTACCAAACACAAATGGGTGAGGTCGCGTAAAATCCCTGCATCAATCAGACTTAGACATTAACACCGTTGGATGTCGGCCCAGTGGTCCGATGGTTAGGCGTTCGCGCACAATACCGAAGGTCCCGGGTTCAAATCCTGCGAGGTGCAAGAGTCGTGGATGCGCACTGCTGATGAGTCCCATACCAGGACGAAACGGCCGTCCAGTGTTTTCAGGTTTCTATTGGTGGTCTAACAATGATTGATTGATGATTTCAAATGTGTAAAATCACAAACCTCCAAAACTCTGCCCCAAAATATTCATTTATATATATAATGAGTGAATATGCATTTTCGAATTCTGTATGTTTAGTTGTTGATTGATTACAGACACGTATGTAGTCAAGAAATAGAGATGCATTTGTCATTAAACTGATGAACATGGATCATTTCGGTTTTTGGGTAATAAAAAACAAAACAAAAAGCAAACAGATCAGGTGTACTTCACATGCTGATTCATCGAAATTCGGAAATCTCCCGTCTAGTTGCATAGCCAATAGAAATGTAAAACCCAGGTATTGTATACACTGTCTTCAATTTGTCACACTTGAAATTCATACAGTATGATGAAATTATCACGGCTTATTTCAGAGTAATGCAGATAGGAATGATATGAATGGGAATCGAAAACACTAGACATTCAGGGGATAGAATTCAAGCAAATAGTCACAACAAAACCTGAATGCTATGAAATTTGTTTCGTACTTATCAAGATGATATCATCATCTTTTGCGATCTTGATACTTTCCTGACCGATATTTTCGAGTGATTCAATTTATCGAAATGGAAAATTTTTACTTCAATACAACAAATACAAGTATTTTCAAAATGTTTAATAATCTGTAGTGCCTCCACATATATTCCATTTTGCTTACATTTAATTTGGTTAAGCCCGTTCAATTAATTTATTTAACTAAGCCATCTGTAAAACAATAACTTATATGTACCATTAGCTTTTATTATTGTGTGGTTTGTATGAGCTGATATGACTGAGCATTGCTGAACGCCTACGCGCTTACTCATCCTATTCATTTTAATATTGATCTCTTAAATATCACGATGACTCAGACATTTTCCTGTGTATATTTATGAACATTATAATCTTAATAATTTACTCGCACATTCGCCCATTCATTCGCTAGTATGCCTGCCCGGTTTGCTTGTGGTCTGCTAGCCCTATTTGTGGTGTGTCAAAAATAAACGTATTGAATACTTTGAATTCATCTTCTGATTTATAAACCGTCAGACGCTATTTGGCAACGATTGTCTGAACCAGCTAATTACGAAGTTTAAGAACACCTCGAAATCGGCTCGTTAACAAATCAACATAGTGCCTGACACATATAAATTAATTATTCCAAGTGACTACTACTCCAAATCAGTACAACGAGATGAAATGAGGACAACAAATGAATCATATAATGGTTGTAGCAGCAATGATAGATAAAATGAATGAATCTGTGGAATTAGGACTGATTCTCAGCTCAGTGGTATAGAAATTGTACTTTTAACAAAAAATTCAAGAATTAGAACACAACTCCGCTTACTTAGGGATTACGGAACCCAATACTGTTACTATAACTGATATTTCAAAATGTAGAGATCGAAATCAAATAGACGAATGTGTACACAATAAATAAAGTAGAACTAATAATAATAATAATAATAATAATAATAATAATAATAATAATAATCGCATTATTAACCTTCATTAGAATCCTGTTTCACGGATAATCGTCGTGGTAATCGATCAAGTTTTTCTTCTTTAGCTGATGAATTCACTTTTGACAAACAATCCGTTATGTCAGAACGTGTTTTTGCCATTAAATCAGCTATACCCAATAAATACATTTGATCTAATGAGGATAGACCAGGTAATTGTTGAGTTGATAAACTATATATTGAATATCAATAGTGATGATGAGGTCGATGATAAAACAAGAGATAAAACAGGAATTCAGCAGTGTTAATTACTTTTTAAATGTTCTCATTATAAATTAAGGTATTTTATTTGTTATCAAAAACCATATATGCTATGATCACCACATTCTTTAGAATTTACAATCAAATTATCAGAAAGTCAAATAAATGGTTAAAAAAAATACCTCGTACTGTTTACATTGATAAGTTATTATATTATGTAAAACATAATATATCCGGCGTGAATCTCAATTAACAGATCTAAATATATTTAAATCCACAGAAGAAAGAAATGCACATATCTATGGTTACTGTATGATGCGCGCTACATATAAGTAGTATATGACACGAGTGAAAACGTAATGTCTGGCAGCAGAAGATGGGGGAAGATCAAGAAAGGAAGAGTGGGAACACAATGGAATTTGTATGAAACGCATGAATAGTGAAATGTCAGACAATGGATTGATGATGGATTGAAGATGTGCAAATTAACGGTTACGATATAGTTTTCCTATTTTACTGAGTAACTCTGTAATTTTCGTTAAATACAATTCGGTTGCCCTCACCTGTGTTCTCCTTCACTACATTTGGTGTCGCTGCCTGCACGAAGGAAGGAGCTCCCGTGGCTGAAGGAGTTTGAGGGCGGAGATTTGCGGAGCTTCCTGGAAGAGTTTGAGGCCGTGGTGGGGCTGGTGGGTGTGAAGGGGCCCGGGCGGAGTTGGTGGTGCTGGGAACACTGCGGGGAGGTGAGGCAAAGGCTGTATACGACAGTTTGGACGGTGCCGCCGGGAAGACGGCGTGGGAGACGGTCACGGAGCGAATAGTGGCGGAGTTCGTCGGCCCAGTGGACAGGGAGGAGGCGCTGCAGAGGCTCCGGTGGGCGAGGCTGTCTGTCGATTGTGACCCACTGGTGCTGGCTGTAGAGCTCACGATGTTGCTGCGCCGTGCGCTGCCGAGTATGGATGGGGAGTCGGGGGCACAGTTGTTGGCGTCGCAATTTATCGAGTGTGCCTGCCGCCGTGCCCCAGCAGTGGGAACTAGTAAACGCTACACGTTGGATAGATGCCGTATCCATTTCAGACCAGCGGGCAAGAACAATGACCGAAGTGGTAATCCGGGATATTGTGGCGTGTCACGGAATACGGAAGATGATATTAACTGACCAGGGTCCCTGTTTTGAAAGTGACGAGTTTGAAGCCCGTCTAAAGCAGTTTGGCATCAAGAGGATACGAACTACACCGTATCATCCGCAGATAAACGGGCTTACAGAGACAAACAGCCGGACGTTGAAGGAATGGTTAGCATGTAAAGGAGCAGATTCGGAGAAAGAGTTACCATTGATTTTGCTGATCCCAAAGTGTGAAGGACCGTACGTTATCATGGAGAGACGCGGCGCGGTTTACACGATCCGGAGAGAAGACAAGCAGAAGCGCGTAAATGCTAGTCAACTGAAGAGATGGTTTCAAGATTATCAAGTATATGAGTCACGAAAAGCACCAAAGATGACAACGGTACGTCAATCAGAAAGACTACGACGACAGCTTATTAAAAGGGGGGACGAGTGTGGTGCGCGCTACTTATAAGTAGTATATGACGCGAGTGAACATTAATCAATAATCAATGTAATGCAATTCAATCTACGTTAATTTTTTAAATTTTTTTTTAAAAGAAAAATCACTTACTGATCAGCAAGAAGACGAGCATCATCTTCTGTAAATTGTACACTACGAGCTAATGCTGCAGGTTTTAATGACCATACACTAAATCCATATAAATGTGGTGGTGTTTTATGTGTCGATGAGACATTGAATGGTAGATTTGAATGATGAATAGTTTTTGATGTGGTACTATTTTTACCTGTTGTATCATGTTCATCATCATTATCATCATTTAAATTAAGATTTAAATCATCATCCTAAGGAAGGAAAGGAAATAGGAATTAGATGACAAGGCTGCTGAAAGTTAAGATAAGATATCAATGTACATGATTAAAGATCGTTTAAAACAAAAACAATAAACAACTTCTTACAAATTCGGAGATGATTGTAGTAACTAACGTTGAACTTACGTAACTAATCCTATGGGGGAATAATTATCTTTATTTTTAATGTATAATTATCCTCAAGGGCAAAGGAAAAGAGCATAGAGAAAGATATGAGAAGAGTGCACAAAAATACGATAGAACCGGAAAAGGAAGCCCAGGACAGAGTAGACTAGAGAACACTGGTCGGTGGCCTATGCTGCATTGGACGTGACAGGCTTAAGTAAAGTAAGTAGTAATTATTAGACGCTTGTCTCATTGCATTTTTATATTCACCTAAGTAGAAAGCTTTTCTTTGACACATACCCCGTTGTTATACAATGATTATTTTAAAATTATTTTTCAACTGTTTTGTGCATACGTTGTGATATCGTGTATTGCTTGTGTGGTGAAACAAAATTCGGATGCATTATTGTATACATTTTGAATTATGAATAAATCGAGTGAAAAATAGAAGATATTTACTTTGTCTTCTACTTGAAAATTAAAGTTGAAAGGTGATCAAAGTTCAATAGGTGTTCAGGGTTTTGATTATTGTTCACTGGACACTATGTGATTGATAAAATAGATTATCGATCTTAAAGACAATATAGGCGAATAAGTCAATAAAATCAAACTGCTCTCATAATAAACAGTCTCATCAGACACATCCTTTAACACTGATAAACAATCTGTTTCATTTAGAAGTACAATAGAAATCAAGCATTTAATGATTAGTATTCAACTAACAATCCAATCGGTTGACGCTCTATTATAAGTTCAGTTTACGATCATTTCTAGCCTGTGAGCTTGAAGAAAATCATTTAGAAACTGATGACGACCAGAAAGTTGTGCTCCACACTTTTACTTGTAGGTAGGTTTACACAAAATCTTGAGATTTCAGGCTAGGGAAAACGTGCTCAATAGATTACAAAATCAATAGTTGCTCTATCAGCATACAGAACACACAAAAAAGTTTCTACGAAGCATTCTGATAGGTCAAAGAGTTTCTGAATATTGTCCTGGTTCTTGCAGACTTTTTTTTCGAGGAAATTGAGAAAGCATCCAGCAGTCGGTAGTTTACTGAACGATTGAGACATACATCATATTTTTGAATATGTGAACGATTGGGCGCTGAAAAGTCTTAGGCTAGAAGAACAGAATAGTTTTCAGTTTACAATCAAAAATTAACCTTCAAATCATACATCATTTAAATGAAAAACCAGAAAAAAGATTTTCTTTTAAACGACCAGTACATACTTGTATTTTGAAGATGTTTGATTCATCAGCTGATCCATATTCATCACTCCATTCATTTATGGCATCTACAAAGAATTGGAGTTTTGTAGAAAAGATCGGAGAAGAAAGTATAGAATGATGAGATATTAATAGAATTTTACTAACTCTGTCTTATACCTTTTACTTCCCAAAAATTATTTGATGAAAATCAATCTATAACATAAAGAATCTAAAAATTTTAAATTAGCTAGTCTTTTTACGTTTTGTTCCCCTAAAATCGAAGACCCATATACATGCTAGATTTTATTCAGTTACAATAATGAGTCTAGCGATCATTATCTGACTAAGTTGAAGGAAGTTATTGCCTATTATTGTTCATGGTAGATTATCCAGAGTACTTACTTCCATGAAACTCTCAAACGTTTTCAACATAGGACACACTCTCAGTCGAAACGTACGCACATCAGTTAAAGTTGCCGTACCACGTTAGAAATGAAATTGTCAATTCAAATCCCAAAAAAGCAGAGGTAACAGAAGTATTAACAGTAATGGAGAAGATTAGGGTTCGAAGATATGATTTGAGAAGTATGATCTCGTAGAAGAAACTGAATGAATTAATTCCAATGACAGTTCACCATAAGCTCTGAATCGACCAATAGTGCTCGAGTAGAGAGACTGTATAAGGTTAATTTACTTCTTTGATACACCTTTGAACGACAGGCATTGCAAGAAAACCTCACGATCGACAGAGTCAAATGTTGCGATCAGCTCGAGGAATACAACTATCGTCGGACGCCAAAATTTACTCTTAATGTATCTACTTGAGAATCAAAGTCACCAGCCACCATTATTACATCAGAGAGCCTAACCTTTCGGACGAGGTTTGAAAGCCTTCTGTAAAATTCATCTTTTAACTCATCTGAGCTGCTATCATTGAGAGCATAAGTGGAGTCAACAAATAGGTAACAAGGAGTATCATTATCTTCTCGAGTCCTTACTGTTCCGTATAGTCGGAAAGCGCATACATACTGGAAACCAATCTAAGAAAACTACTTATGCTTTGTAAATTAATGCTAAACCTACACCAGAATGCCGACGGTTCTTTATTTTGACATGGTGAGGTCAAATGAATCACGCTACTAGGATCCTGTATGCGCGTTTCCGAGACGCAGCATACATCGATGAAGTGGGATTCTAAAGTCCTAGCTAAGGAAGCTTGTTGTCCTATTCGACACAATATTCGGACATTAAATGCTCCAACATGTAATTTAGAACGGGGTTTTAGGAGACCAGGAATAACGTTTCGGGAACTCGAGTCATTTGCATTAGCGGTGCAGGGTGACAGAGGAATGTACAAAGGGTTAGGCGTCGAGATAAGAGAGATGTTAGGAGGTGTAGGAAGGATTTGATTGTGACCAATTCGGTCTCGTGTGCTGTTACAGGTATGAGAGCTGTCAACAACGTGGAAGGGTGTTTCGTAAGGAGTCTGAAAAGGAAGATGGATTAGCGTTGGACTTAGCGACCCGGGAGCGTGACTGCGAAGCCCAAAGGACAATTGCTTGAGGCCGGACACACACGCCTTCAAAATACCCCGCCTCCAGAAACGGAAATCCATGGAGTAATGTGAGGTGTGACATTTTTAGGGTCGACCTTTTCTAACCCCTCGCTTCCTTGTGAGAAGGCAGCATCGCTGCAGATGCTGTTTAGCCAAGGGAAACACCTTACTACTGTCACACCCCTCTACAGTCAGCAGTACGAATTCGCCCTCAGACATTGAGTAGTTGCTTTTAGTCCCATCGATTTTCGATCGACCTGCCTGGCATGGAAGAACTTACAGGAACATGTTTCGGCCAATATATAGGTCAGTTAGGTCGTCACAGGAGGTATGTCGCTTGGGATATATACATCAATATATTTGCATTCTGATAAGTGGTTAGTCCTGTTTTTGCTGAAAATTGAATGCAAATTTTCATAGTTCGAATATTTAACCATATAAAACCGTACACTGTTGTTTATCGTTAACTGAGTTTATGATTTTTTTAAAAAACCATAGTATTAAGACTTAATATAACATACCAAAATGTTTGTCCGATTTCACATCAGCATTTACGTCGGTCACTTGCAACGAATCAACAGCCAACAGAACATACAATGGTAATGGAGGTATTGCATGAGCTTCTAAAAGATTATTTGGAGAGTGAGGTGTATAGGACATCGAAGACACTGGTTTAGGTTTTGTATTATTTGTTCTTGTTGATGATGTCAGTGTAGTGTCGAATGAATCGATAACGAGATTGGTCAGCTCTGAATTTAAATTACCCTACATATAAATAAAGGAAAAGGAGAATGCGAAGTTGTAAATGAAAAAGTAATTAATTATCCAATGACATCATGGTTAGATTGCAGGATGAAAATAAGCGAAGGTTAAAGGCTTTCATCTGAAAACCTAAGATTCGTTAGAGATGAGGGTCATATATCATTTTGTGAATTCAAATCGTTGGCGCAAGTGGCATGTGTGGAAGAAGTTGAAGACAGGTGATAAAGATTAGTATTAGAAATAAAAATAGTACGTGCAAAAAAGGATTTAAATGAGAACAGGATGAGCTCGAATGTGATTAGGCATTTGTGAACGGATTTCTCACATTGTGGAAGGATACTTCTTCTTGATGAACCTGGAAAGAAACTAAAGCGAAAGTTATTCGGAGCTACAAGTTAGTTGTGTTGATCGGAACGTGCTGTTTGCAAAGGGCTTAGAAGCTTGGACGATACACAAAATGGCATACGCAGTGCAGAAAATTATGATAGGAATTCTGATTGGTGAATATGGAACGTGACATTGATTAACGTCTTAAACATAAGAGATATTTGCTTAGTAGTGGTCTTGTAGATTTAAAAGTGTGACTGCAACGTTTACGAGACAACAGCTTGGGATCATACACGGATGACCTATATTGAGGAAGTATTTGATGTGTTAACTCAGTACTTGAAAGGCCTTATTTCCGACTAGGGAAATCTGTGGGTAAGGTAAATTGAGTTGTAATTGGAGGTGATATTTTACAGGATGCTAGGTAAGCTTAGAAAATCGGTTGATGAGGTTGTGAATCGTCACTGACTGAAATGGTCTACACATGTATTACGTATAGCCTGGACATACGTACCTAGATGTACACAAAAGACTATTCTTGATCTATTTTCTTACCGCGTGAGATGTCACGTAACGGCTGAATTTTCGTTACCGAGTTTCATCTTTTAAAGTCATTTGATTGTCATTCTACTCTTACAGCCAACGTGCTTTAAGGGTTACCGGTTTATAGGTTTATATTCTATACACTGTACAATTAACCAAACAGAAATCTAATAAATTCACGTTAATGGGAATCTTATCAAAGCCCCCTCCCCAAAAAAAAATATATTATAAAGCGAAGATAGAAAGAAAAAAACCATTCAATAAAAAAGTAAACATACTTTCGTCATTCTACGATGGCTGTCGTAATGAGTGTGTGACTGTTGGGATGAATTTCCAAGGGCGGACAAGCATCTAGTTAAATGAGCCAATATCGCTTTGATGCGGCGTAAATGACCTAAATTCATCCATTCTAAGAGTTGACGAGGATGGAATTGAGGAAGGATTGGGTTTACAATCTACGAAGAGAGAGAGTGAGAGAAAGAAAGAAAGAAACATATTTGAATGTAAAATACGTACGGCTAATCATCGAATAATAAGATGGATGACCGCTGTGACCTACACTACTCTCTCAGACATCTGGACCATCGCGTTTTTAAACGTAGAAAAATCGATACAAAATTGTTATATATATATATATATATATTTCTACATGAAAAAAAATGTCGTCTTAGCTTAGTAGTTTTCTATTCTTACTCCTGGCATCAAAAAGCCGTGGAGGTAAAAGGTGTGTTACTTTCAGGGACTATCTTTCTTCAATTTTTACTTCGGTTTTTAAGTACACAGATTATGCTGGTTGTCTGTAAAAACAAATACATCTTACTGTCGCTATATCACGATACAATCAATCTCCAGTACAAGTTCTTTGTCGAACTTTACATTTATCATCATTGACAGAATTTTAATTTCCAACCAAACTGTTTGATAGTATTGTAGAATTCGCGGAAAAAAAAATAAACGTTCCAGACAAGATTAACACGATTAGTTTATTACCACTATCAACGATTTCGAGGAAATAAAATGATACGAATTTAATTTTTTTCTTTTAAAACAAACAAACAAACATCAAGTTACCTGAACAGCTTCAAATAATCCAAGATTTGATAATAGTTCTATATCTTTCAATAATTGTTCATTTGATTTCACATCTAATCCACTACCACTAGCACGATTTAAATCAATTTGACTGATTTGTCTAGTCATTTTAGGTATGCCACTGATAGTATCAGAATTAGCAGCAGCAACAGTAGTAGTATTATTATTAGTAGTAGTAGTAGCAATAGTATTTAAATTAGTTAAACTACTATGACTTGCAACTGCATGTAACAGTGATCGTGAAGGAGACGACTTTAATGCATATGGTGAATAAGCTTTAGTTAAACGTTTTACTGACATACTAGAACTTCCAGATACTGTAGAATCAGCAGTAGCATCAAATGATTCGTTTGCACCAATCGATGGTTTGATATCTGAAAAGGTGAAAAATTAAAATAACAAAATAAAGTGAATGTATATTAATGGAGAAATGGAGAAATAATGATATGTTTATTATCATTATTATTAGGAATGGATTTAACAATATGGTTGTTTATAGTCAAGACTGAATTATTGATTAGTTTTTCTCGTCTGTGAATTGTCTCAACGTTATCATACAGTACACAAGTTTTAGTAAAGTTGTAAGAGGAGTTAGTGGTGGCATATAGGGTGATGTTTTTTTTACCCATTTAGGAGTTATCAGTTGTATGTACATTCATCCTAGTGATGATGTTTTAATATGAACTGAAAATCAATACTTTTCACACTATAGGAAAATGCATCATCCACTGAACTAGTGAGTTCAGATAGCCACTAAGTGAAAAGTACCGTGCTGTGGTCCAAATATGAGCATTATTACTAAGATGTACATACTTCTAGCTAACAAGTCCTGAATAAGATGTTACGAGTCTAATTAATTTCCCTGATGGCCACAATTTATCAACTCTATACAAGGAAATAGTTTGTCTACGGAATGATGTAACTGGAATATGAAATCCTCAACACCTCAGAGGAAGTGATGGATACAGTGGACAGCTAGGATGTAGCTACACGTTTTGGACATCATAGATGACCTAACTCTTCTATATCACATACGGCGATAGATGCAGATGAAGATGACCAATGTGGTAGCAACATATGCAGTAGTAGGTTTTAACATACACAAAGGAAAAATTACGACACAACAAGCACCAAACAAATCATACTTGACAGATAAGCTTTTGAAGATGAGGGGACCTTGACATAACTGAGCAGTATCATTAATAAACAAGGGGATTCTGATTCAGATGTGAAGACACGGATTAGTAGAGCATAGGCGGCATTTCTACGATTGACAAACATCCGGAACTTCAAACCGCTATGAACCAACAAAACAATCAGAATTTTAAATACAAACGTTAAGACACTCCTATCGTGTGGGGAGAAAACTTGCAGAACTACGTAAGTCGTCATCCAAAAGATAAAGGTATTTATTATCAGTTGTTTACGCAAAATATTCTAGAACCAATAGCCAAACATCATCAGCAACAATCTACTGTGGTAGAGAGCAAACCAGATTCCGGCTAAGGGATAAATTAGGAAAAAACACTGGAGATGGATAGGGCATACATTCGGGAAAGCAGCTAACTGCATCACAAGAAAAGCCCTAGTGTTAAATCCCTAAGGACAAAGGAAAAGAGGTTGACCAAAAAACAAATTGCTCTAGAAATTGGGGGCATATATCAAAATAATGAATAGCATTCGAGAACAATTGAGTGCCCAGGATGAAGTTGGCTAAAGAATCCTGATCGACGGTCCAAGCTCCATGAGGGGATAAAAGATGTAAATGAATGTATGACCAATTCCAGGCTAAAAAAACTTAGGATTTTGATCATGGAGATTACAATACCTAAATAGTCTAAAGCAATTAGGTTTGAATACCACAGATATAGGTGCAAAGTATGTCAAGATAAATTTGCACAGAACACTCTGAGACTTAACAGTGGTACTGTTATTTGATCGGGAGCCTATTGTGATATGCTAAATTAAAGCATTGAACACAAGATTTTACCTGACTTTTTTTAACTGAATAGCTCGGTTATTACGTAAGAATATATAAAATAAAAAAAAGTGAGTAACTTACTAGTTATTTTAGGTTTTACATGCCATTTAAATAAATTGTAAAGATTATCCGATGGCCATTGACTAAACAATTGCATTTCAGTTTTTGCACTGACTAATAATAAACCATCACGAAGCCATGCAGCTTGTTTAATATAACCACGATGACTATTACTATGCATAATATTATTATTTGAAGAATAACACCAATCAAACTGTTGATAGTTGTGTTGTTGTTTTTGTTGAGGTGATGTGGATTCCTTCTTTTTCATTGATCTAATAGATGATGATGAAGCGATAGAGTCGGCAGTGATTATATGAGTACAAGCGATCGGTTTCCAACCAACATACATTTCACCAATTGTAGTCATTAATGTTGGTTGACATGCATGTCCACTTCTTAGTTTATTATGACTTAATGAAAGATTTTGACAAACTGGTGCAAAAACAAATACTTCCGAATCAATAATGATTGATAATAAATGTCCACCATCTTCTGTATTAACCCAATCCAATTGAATGGATGATAACTAATAAATTAAGTATAGTAAGAAGTGAAAAGTATTTTTTAAAAAAAACAAACACAATTTTACATGAAATAAGATGTTGAGATTTATGCTAGAAAAAAATAATGGTGGAATTGAACAATCTTTAGATTTTAATCCATCAAACCAATCAGAAAACAGTAAAGATTTTTAAATTACTTAATGAGGTTAAGAATGCTCATTTAAGATATACAGTATGTTAGCTGATATCAGTACGTGATAAAAAATATAATATAACTCTAACTCCTAATCCTCATCACCATTATGGTGTATACTACTTACAGTGGAGCTTAAAAGTAATATGCAATGTACAGGCATTAGAGAGTCGCCCTGAAAATATGGCTGAAGAGAAGTTGAATCAGATCCAGGTTTATGGCGCCATCTGGGTGTTTTGAAGAATAGAAGACAGTCAAGAAAACGCTTGTTTTGCAAATGAATGACTTGTGATACGGTGTACAACTTTTGGCTGGTAGATTGTGTCTTCGGTTAGTCTGACCTTCCATCATTACACCACTAATTATTTCTAACTATGATTTGACGAATACGCCATGATTTTGAAGCGGTTTGCATGTTCACCGTAGGAACGATGATATAGCTCAGTCTTAAAGTAAACATATTACCGTTAGTGTCAAATACAAATTTTTTGAAATCATGAGTCAATCATTGTTAGACTACAATTAGAAACCTGGAAGCACTGAACGGTTATTTCATTCTGGTCATCACAACTTTTAGTCTAATAAAATTGCTGTTTCAAAGCCATAAACTGTCAATGTACGAAAAAAGTTGATCCATTTCAATTCTTCGCATCTTTTCAGAATTATAAAGCTATCCTGAAAGTCCTGTGTTTTCTATCTCAAAAAGGCAGGAGAATCAATAACGTTGTTGAGTATCAGTTGCCATTCTATCGGATATGTGAAAGAATAGCGTAGAGTAGGTCTGAATCAAACCAAATCTCAGGATCAAACAAATGCAAAGGAATCTTTATAGTTTAATCGAGCCTTGTGGCTGGATGCTGAATATAAAGAATAGTTGGAAATCTTTACTAATTACATATATGTACATACGTATCAGTAGTAGTTTAACAGAGAGCAACAGAACTACTTGACTCATGTTAATTGGTTTCGAGTTACGCTTTAAGGCTAATGATACTATCTAGTCGTCTAAAACAAAGTGGGTGGAATTGAGTTTGACCGACTTAGCCACTCGACAAATGACTTGTTCTAATATAAATTCTTTACTTGCATTATATTCAGTAAATGTAGTGTTCCATATTCAGAAGAAGATTAATCAGAGGAAGCAACACTTATGAAACTACCTTGCAAAAATCATAAAGTTTCCTCATCACACAATAAAGAAGGGTTAATAATCTATAATTTTCATTTGAAATCACGAACTGATGTTAAATAAATCACCAATAAATAACCTGAGTTATTGGGAGGTCGTCTCGTCTTAGTATTGAACGACGTCACAGTAGTGAGCATTCACGATTCTGTACGCGAGAACCAAACCGAAGACCTTCAGTGTCGAGCGCGAACGCTCAACATCTAGTTCACTGAGACAGTATCAAACGATGTTAAAGTCTAACTGAAATTAATCCATGATCTTGAGCGACCCTTCATTCAGTGCCTGGCTTATACCCAACACGCATTGAACTCCACTGATTACGGCTTCTTACTTCAGGAGTTACATCTTGAAACTAGTCACTAGTATGTATATGATTATTTTTATAGTGGATTTGTGGAGATTTTCAAATCCAAATCACGAACTGACCCTGAGTTCGATTCCTGGATGCGCAGTCATTGATGCATACTGCTTATGATCAGTCCATGTTTTTAATGGTTGTTTAACTTGTGAAAATCTTTTTATACTAACTGCTAACTTTTCAATCATCGGTTAGAAAAAACCGTTTCTAAATGGAAAGTTTCCAAGAAGTAAAAAACAAAACAATCATTGTAATAAATGATTCAGAGCAGATTTTCTACGTACACATGTGGAATAATGACTTACTTTTTCGATCTTATGTTGAAAAAGACAAGATTCCGGTGTTAATTCAATTGTATCTTCTAAAATCCACTCGCATCCACCTAGGAATATCAAATAAGAAATTAAAAGGGGCAAGTAACGTAGTGAATAAATTCTTTTTCAAGTTGTTCAGTTAATAGTCATAAGATAAAGCGGGATAACACTGGGATGATTATACATTAGTCTAAATTGACATAGCAAAGCTATAAAAAAGTACTTTTCTTCACCGTACTGTTCAACAGATAACTAGAAACGTAAGTGATGATTTTAACCAAGGAAACAATCAAAGTTTCACGATCAAACAACATCCTCATCATGAGCTACAGATATGCTCCATTATCTCAAAATTGTACAAGTGATTCTTTCTATTTGAAATTGGCAAAACTTCACTAAGAAGAAAACTTCCACAAAATGATAAATATACTTTTTTCACAAATGATCACGTTATCCATTTCCCCTCAAGAAAAAATGCTAAATAAAAGCTATTGACCGACTGTAAAAAAAGAGGAAGAGAAATAGCTGAGTAATATGGAAGATGAATGATACGACTAATAGTCATTAATTTATGATTACAGGCGATGGATGACCAAAGGAAAATAAGAGAAGGAAAAATCAGGTCAGAGAGTTAAACAATCTTAATTAACAACTACGATCAAAAAAGCTAAACAGACAAGAGATGAACTCGATGGAAAATTTAGCCGAAATTTCAACTCCCCCTTTGAGATAATAACAGTGGTGAACTGATAAAAATCCTCTTTGATCGCAGCGGAAGTATGTCCTATTTAAAATGGAGATACTTCAAAACTGAAACTCTTTTGTTACACAGAAATTATCACTGAAAACATCCGGATTGAATAAGAATACTTAGGAAGAAATAAGACTTCAGGTAATAGATCTGACTTGATGAACGCAAGACTACACTCAACTTACCATTCAAGAGAAAAGGATCTCAAAAAAGGCTGAAGAGAGAATGCAGTCATAATTTCAGCTGACAGAAAGTGAACCATGGTAGTCATGACTACAGAAGATAAGTCAGTAGATTGAGGAACTACCCAAAAAGGAAGGTTTGTATTCACTAAAAGAAACTAATCCTATTCAATAACTACAAATCACGATCAATAAGACTCTAAATAATTCGTTGAGGTGAAATAGTTGACAATACAAGATTACTAGCAAGCAGACATTAATAAGCATGTTATTCCTCGATTTTATAGTAAACAAACACTACTCGAGGCAATCAACCCTTTACGACCAGTTTTCACATATTAGGAACCCAAACATACAATCTACCAATGGGAATATCAAAAACATTAAAACACTTGATAAATTAATGCTATCAGTTTATGAAGTCTTGAATACAATTTTTAAATTATATCATGGGTATTTAAACAACCAATGATGAGTTGATGATATTCCCTCAATGCCACAAACTTCTTCAGATCGATTAAAACAAATCTATTAAAGGACACTATATTCTTTCTTCTCAAGAATGATATAAAAACCTGTCAAAAATTCAAGTTTAACTGATTTCATTATTTTGTTTCAAACGACATATGTTCACTTCGATGGTGAAATGTACAAACAAACAAACAACAGGAATTTCAATAAAACTACCGATATCCTTATTAACTAGAGATACGATATGCACAGTTTAGTAGTCACTAACAAGGATCAAAACATTTTCCAGTACCCACAAGTAGTAAATTATTATCTAAGTGAAGTTGATTCGTGAAAAGAAACCGATAACGCTCTCCGAGAATTTCAGTATTTTTTTCTTGTAATTAATTAATACGTACATTATTGTAGTTTTGTATTCTCTTACTTGTAAGCTTTGCTGTAATACGTAAACTGCCTTGGTATGTTATACCTTTCTAAAGTTACTGTTAATTTATCAAAGACTCATCGTTTAGTTCTCTTGCGCTTAAGGCCGTAGATCAGTCGTTATTGTAATTTCTTAATAGGGTTAAATGCATGGTCACGATCTTACTCTTTGAGATGGTGGTGAAGATTCGTCGCTCAGACGACGAAATTCTATCACAAGATTTTACTCTATGTTATTGTATGATCGAATCGGGTATAGTATAGAACTAATCTGTTTGGTCACTGGGTAATAAGGAGCTTGAGGACCAATAAGGGTCAACGTTCCGGTTGCCATTGATTGGTCGATGTGTGACTAGTCCTACTGGCAGCATAAATGAACTAATCGATAATCGGACTAGAATGAGAGAGGTCATACAATCGCCTGCCTGTCATTACGGCCCAGTCACAACGAGACTCAATGTAACCTAACTGATGGAAACTTGTTATCGTACAGATCGCAAATGACTGCCACTACTTGTCTTCATGTTATAAATATTCAAATTTTGTCATTATATCATAAGCAAATACATTTATATTTTCTCAATTCAATTAGCCGTGAAGAAGTGGATTAGAATGTCATCAATGTATCGGACAACAAACTAAACATAAACTTTTATTTAAAAAATATTCAATTAAGGATAATCGTTATTACTTACCGCTAGATTCACATTCATAAACAGTAACATAGATTGTTAAATCATTCTTCTTACTTTCATTCCAATCTAAATTCGATTGACTATGTTTATTTAACACATTATTATTATTATTAGTATTATTGTTATCACATAATTGTTGTGATGAAGTATATGCCACAGCTAATCGCCCACTATATGCACAATCCATATCTAAAATAATAGGTTTATTCATTTGTGATCCATTATCATTGACACGATTCTCTTTATCGTTATCATTATTCGCACATAACTGTATTTCAATACAACTTGACATAGATTGCATTAATGGCATTTGCCATTCTTCCCATGTAAATTGATCATGAACTGAAAAAGAAAAGAAAAGAATGAAATAATGATTGCTGAAAGGGAGGTAACGAAAATCATATATATGAGATTTACAATAAATTGCAAGTCTTTCTTTAAGAAAATTGATGTAATCTAGAGAATTATTGATGTTTAGGTGGCTGGAGATGGTTGGGTGGTAGCTTTGATGACCGTAGGAACTCGTCAGCAAGGTACACATCTATGGTCTCGAAGAAACTATTTACCTCCTAGTTTAGGATTCAAACCTGAGTCACTCAGGTTGATACACATTCTGAGACATTAATATTAAGATAAATTCAATTTAAATACATATTATTCGTTCATATTGATCAATTTCTGAGTAAGAGTGATTAAGATCTTGTTTGTTAAGTCCTTACTAGTACTGATTGAGTTTCATTAATAAAGCTGCAATGTGATCATTCACCTAAACTATGCAGCATTGTGTGAACAAATTTTTGGTACTAAGTTGTTAGAGGTAACAAAAAGGAAGAACTAGACGAACATAATATTAACCGCAACTTATTGGTCAATCACTTGTAAACCAATCAGACCAACAAATCAGTTGTGGCGTGAATAAATTAGTGGTAACATCTCAAATTAAGAAACTGGGTGCTGCTGAATTAAGTTCCACATGGAGCATAAATTCCTTAGATATGCAGATTATGCCATGCAAGGAAGAATCTCGCGTCGAAGGTTTTCTTATAAACAACTCCAACTGTCTAATATATATATATGGTATTTCAACTCGTTTTTTAAACGTTTAACAGGGTTTTTTAAAATAACCAAAAAATTATTTAAAATTTTCACAGCGTTTTTTAAAATAACCACAGCATTTTTTAAAATTTTTTGTAATCCTTAGAATGTCAGAAATAATTAGAAAAAACAACTTGATTTCGAATGAAAAAAGAAAAAGCCTTATAAAAAAAGTTATCGAAGATGGATACAGCGTCAAGGATGCGGCATTTCTTACAGATGTAAACTATCAGGCCGCTACAAATATTATAAGGTTGTATAAAAAGGAATCGCGAGTTGAGAAGAAAAAAACAGGAAAACCATCAAATAAGAAGATATGCGGTGATATTATCAATTTTGTTGAAGAATTGATAGAATTAAACCCGTTAATAACGATGGTAGAAATTCGAGAAAAAACAGAAAACATATTTTCTATAGGCCTTTCTCTTGAATCTATAAGAAGGATAATTTATAGACTTCAGATTACTTTGAAAAAGATTTCTTATACATCGGTCAATATAAATTCGGAATCCAGTAAAAACAAACGCCAAATTTATGCTCAAAATTTTATGAACATTGAAGATACATTTATAAAAGTTTTTATAGATGAATCTTCTTTTAATTTGTACTTAAGAAGAACCTTGGGAAGATCTACAAGAGGAAAACCGGCAAGTGCCCTAGTTCCATCAACGCGTGGAACCAATATAAGTTTAATATCGACTATAACAGAAAATGAAGTTCTCTTTGCTAAAACATTTGTTGAATCGGTGAATTCAGATAAGTTTATTTAGTTATTTGGTTATTTTAAAAAACGCTGTGAAAATTTTAAATAATTTTTTGGTTATTTTAAAAAACCCTGTTAAAAGTTTAAAAAACGAGTTGAAATACTATATATATGACGAAATTGACAGGGAAGATGTTTTGTTGAGAATAAAAAAAACAAAAAATGAGGAACACTTACTTCCGTTACTGTTTGAATCAGATTCACATCGCCAAAATCTTAAACAACCATCTGAACAAGCAGTAACAATGAAATAAGGCGGTGGTGCATTGAATGTCGATAAAGCAGCCCAACTTACATGTGCTGCTGACACTTGAGCACAAACAATCGATACACCTGATGGTAAACTTAATTTACAATCACATACCTAAATTATTTATTGAGTAAATAAAAGATGGACAGAAAAAAAATGATAACTCATATGTGATTATTGAATACAATGATAATGATGTATCAGAATAAATATTTGAGAAATGGCAAGTACCATTTTATTGTATAATTAATTTCAAAGTAACCGGACAAAGTGGACGGCCTCTCCAGCTTCGTTTACGTGAACACCAATTAGCAGTCAAACGCCACGACAACTCTTCGCTTATATCAATACATACCAACAAAATGGACATACATTCGATTGGAACAATGTGGAAATACTGGATAGGGGTAGGACAAAGAATACTAGAGAATTTTTAGAAGCTTGGCACTCAGGTCAATCAGCAATCAATAAACACACCGACATTGACCCAATTTATCAACCAATCAGAAAAATCATAGGTGACATAGGATCAACAAACAGATCAAAAAGGGGATACAATCAAAACAAATGTGCAAACAACTACAGGTTTAAGGTCAACAACAACCAATCAAGATCGAGGTTAGCAGAACAAGCTACAGGTCAAACGTGGAGAAATTCGAATGCTTCACTTCTATCTGAAGTTTGTACTGATGATGTTGTTCAGTAGAAGGACAATGAAAGCTCCACAACCAAAACAACCAGCTCAGAAAATGAAACACCACCACAACTATCCACCTGAGCTACAAGTTTTCTCCACCATCTCACAGTGAGTGCAGTTAAGTAGGTTTCTTCATAAAATTCCAGTATGTTTGGAATGTAATAAAAAAAGACGCCAGTTGCTGTCTTTTCTTCGGACTAATAATGGCAAGGGATGAGAGAAAGACTTGAGTATTGCAAGAGCCGTAGGAACTTAGCTACTGTTGGTCAAGGTTAAGAGTGCAGCAGAGACAAATGATTGGGACAAACCTAGGGACAATAGGCTACAGGAGGAATAATAGATGCTGAATAGAAAAATATTGTGAATAGAACTTGAAAACGTGATATCGATTTATTGACTAAAGCCACAATAAATGTCTTCAATGCTGAGAAATAATCAAATCTAAAAAAAAATGAATCAATATTACTTTTTGATGGAATTCAATTATTTGACGATAATGTGAATATAAAAACTAAAATGTTTGAGTTGGAATTCAGCACTTAGAACAGATGGATAGTGGTCAACAGGAAGTGTGTGAAGTTGTTATTTGAGATTAGTCAGCTGGATACACCAGTATCCCGGTGTTAATGCTCGTTACATTAAAACTTAAATCTAGTACTATTCAATTCAAATTGTTTAATAAGTTATCCATTGAGTTACTGAGTCTGAATGGATACCAACTTGATCAATGAGTAAAACGTTACTCGTAATGAATTTTGAACTGTACCGTTAGGTGTATACTAAATCTGCTGAAGCATAATAATGATATGCTACACTGTACTAAAGCATTCAGCTTAAAATTCGTATGGACATTCAATTACACATAGCATATAAAACCAAAGCACATGCATACAGTTTCATACTTGAAATCAACCCAGTGACATGAAATTGACAGGGTACATTCCAAAGTAGTATATGCCATGTCACTCAAAGCCTCGAGGCATTGGCTACAATAATAATTCCATGAATCCCAAATCAGGTAATCTCCACCTACTACTTACAAAGCTTAGTTCAACAGTCAGTGGTCTTCATAGATTCATATCTTGATTTGATCAATCATAGCTTTCTTCAAATCTACTCTGTTAAAACCAATCAGTGTTATCCTTCACTGACAAGAAGTAACAGAACCTTATTAAGCTCAGCATTATGTATCAGTCAATAAAGAGAAATTTAAAAAAACGACCTTTAAAAAAATGCATTCCATGTAAACAGAAACAATAGATAATTCAATGCGAATTACTTTAATTGCATCTGTTATTAAATTATTAAATATAGTAGTAAGATTATCATTGATTGATTCCAATTTATTCTTAGTGGAAGTATTTCCATCAGTCAATATATTAGTAGTATTAGTAGAAGTAGTAGTAGTGGAGGCACAAACACGCCACATTTCCATACGACAAAAATCCATCTGAAAAAAAAACAAGATGAAATATCATAAAACCAAGAGAGTGAGTGAGTGAGAGAGAACATTTGACAGTCAGTCAGTCAGTTACAACGTAGAACTTCGTACGTATGTACATCAGTTCATGTTGCCATACCACAGTAGCACAGAGACGCAAATGTCAAATCAAATCCCATAAAGAGCATCTGACAAGAATCAAATTTATTTGTCATTCACTCAATGATTTTGGTAAGTTATTGTTCATAACTTTAAGTTTGTGCTTTGCACAACGTAGAACCTGGTTTATACATATGCATTGGTTCAGGTTGTCACATTATTAAGATAAATGTTATCGTAGTGAAAGTAGCAATAATAATAATAATATCAGTAGTTATGAAAAAAAAACGTTATTTACCCGGAGTAGGATTAGAGAAGAAAGAGAACAAAAGAATGAACGAAATAAAAGGAATGAAGTAATTTTAAAAAAACAAGAATCTAAGAGACGATCAATAGTGAATGAATGCACTTATGCCACTTTGAACAATTCAAAGTCATATCACCCAATATTCCCATTATCTATTCTAAATAAGTATAGCTAATCAAAATAATCGATAACAGATTATCAGTGGACTGATAGTTTTATTATTAAAAGTAGTAAATGGTTTTTGAGTTATCATATTATCTGTGCACAATGCATGACCGATACACTGTCTCTATCCTGACAGTCAATAACAATGGTAATATGATATTGTATAATGAGGTTTAACCAATGGATCTTAGTTGGTTAGAGAGCAAATGATCTAGAAAAAAACTGATTTCATTATGATATATTTTGTGTTGATAGTTCGCATATAAGCATGGTGTATTCTAGGCTCATTTCTAGTCTCATCTTTGATTTCTAATCAAATTGGGAGGTTATGTCAGTAAGTTCTTCTCGTGAGCAGCCATCATTCGCGGACATTGCGTAACAATGCATGTCATTTAAAGATTACTTAGGATTCTACTTATACAATTTGGCAATTACAAATCAGGCTCAATAAAATTGTATAGTTTGTGTAATCCATAGAAAGTGGAGAAGATAGAAACTATGCGGAAATCACTAGTTGTTGGACTGACAGTTATGGTAAAAAGTGAAAAATCTCCAAGAAGTTGTTAATCTATGACATAGACAATTTGTGGTTGATGTCACTAAATAGCTTAAAATCAGTTGCAGAGGAACACTGATTTCATTCATTTGTAAATGTGAAATCTTTCTTCATTGTCATCCATACTATTATTATTATTATTTTAAAGCTTTTGTTCTTTAGTATGCTTAAAATCTCTTTCTCGTCACATGAAAAGATAAATCTAGTAACTTGAGCCAATGCATAACTTCTTTATCACGGTACAATGCAGGGTGCTGTGATTAATCAAAACGATGACTTTATTGGTGGTTTCTTTTAACGGTAACTATCGAACATTTGTGATTTTCATAAGCATATCACTCACTCTGCAAAACCTTGAATTCCCAAAGGTACTACTACTACACAGCTGTTCATTTAGGTAGAGAAATCAGCACTATATTTGTAGCAACGAAAAATCAATAAATTTCGGAAACTTACAAATCATTATTAATATGAACATGTAAGTTATAAGTTTCATTAGCCGATTCGGTAACACATGTATTTCTAGTTTAGTGTAACTGGCTTTTAACCATACTCTAAATATGACGATTAGTATTACTGCTCTGTTGCTTAAATCAAAGTAAATGAATCGGAGGTTTGAACCTGCAATAAATTGGTTGAAAAATGAACAAAAGACTCATTGACTTCTGAAATTTCGTAACTTCACTAGTTAACTGAACTAACTTTGTTTTCAACTTGATTGAATTATCCTACAGTTGAAAGTATGTAAACAACTTGTTGTGTGTAACGGAATTTTTATACGAATGCATAGAAAATAAAAACTACCTAATCTTATATAAAAACATTAAAACACATACCTTATTACAACGTGAAGAGTTGACTGTTTCATCACGTAAATTATAACGCGTCATACGAACAATTAAAAATGTTGATATAGAATTCATGTTGGATTTAGTGAAATTTTGCATTTCATCAGTTGTTGTATTCTTTGAAATTGTAGTTGTTGGTTTACAACTTTCTGATTTGGACATAATTAATTCACTGGGAAATACATGTAATATAAGTGTTTCAGCATTGAAATTTTCCTATAATAATAATAATAATAATAATAATAATAATAATAATGACAATAATAAGAGTTCAATTGAAGAAATCAAAAATGTAACAACAACATAAATCGAAATCAGTTAAGACATCATTATAAAACTAAATGGTTTTTCATGTAGTATAACGACTTTGTAGTAATGTGTACCGATGACACGGTTACACATTAAACCAAGAACCTGTAAATTTTTCTTTCATAGGCGGTTATCCTACCTAGTAAGGCCATTTGTACTGAAAAGTTCCCTAATAAGACAAAATGGTTGTCTACGATGAATACAACATACAGTGAGTGATAATATCAACAAAATGAAAAAAAAACAACATGAAGTCAGAACCAAATCAAATCAAAACTGTGAAATTGAAAAGAAAACGATGGCAACAGAAAAATGAAGTTGCTAACATAGACATGTGAATGTTAGTAGTAGTAGTAGTAGTAGTAAACAGCCCTGGCTATTGTATGTTTCGACAAGGCTCAAATCAGAACACTCAAATTAATTCATGTTGACAATGATTAGCGTCAGTGAATCAATTAAAGTTATAAAAGCTTCATACTAGAAGTTCAGGAATTCTGTTTAGATCTAATAAACAATCGTAAGTGTACAAAACTAAGGAGTTCTAAAAACACATCAATAAAGTAACTGTCTAGTTTGCCCCCTAACCTTCTACAGCTCTCCAGCTTAAATTCAACATTAGAAAAACAAATCAACTCCACAGACAATTAATGTGAATGAAATATTAGTGAAAAACATTTTAGGAAAATAACTCAAGCAGCAATTGAAAAGTAACCATTGTTAGGATATTTATCCAATATCCTAAGATAAGTCTAATTCTATTGATCGTCCTAACTATCAACGTCACATACTTCAATGTCGTTTCCTATTCGACCTAACTGTATAAATATGCATTATCTGTAACGTCTGATGACCCGGAACCGGATCCCTAGTCCGGCATCCTCTTCTGAACTCGGATCTCGTACTTTCTGGATGCTTGTAGATAAAAGGTTCTACTTCATATCAAGTCTTCTTCTTTTACTCATTGGGGGTTTTGGACGTTCGGATTAAAGTAGCCTGTCGTGTCGCCAGATCCTCGATCTTCGCTCTTGGTTTCCGACTAAGATAAACTCGTAATAGTTCAAGCATATCCAATGACGTATTCACGTGCATTCGTAACAACCATTTTTAATGGCTAACATGTAATCGCTTGAACATCAAATGATAAACTGGTTACACAATGATTCGGACGTCACATCCTCTGTACTTTGATACGGATGATTGCATCGTATTATTATATAAGCATGAAATCATGTGTATGCAAAAATATTCATGAAAATGTATGTTACAACTCGGTTATTTAGACAATCAACAAAACTCTTTCATTGTACATAGATATCAACTAACAAAAACACATTACCAAAAGACTTGAACATCAGTCCACTTATTGCAGTGATAATGTATTTAAGACAATACCAACACATATATCATATAAAATGTTGGAAACATATTCGCCATAGTTTAGTCATACAGTTACTGTCTACATAATATTCTACTTGACACAATTCGGGAGCTCGCAAATAGTGTGAGTTCCCTTAACATTTCTACTACCAACTGTTAACTAGCTCAAGACCTAGGCCAAATAAAAACTTCTAATCAAACATTCACTAACTATTACATAACACATAATAACTACGGATGATAAGTAGTAGTAGTGTTATCTTCCGTGGCACAATTCAATTAGGATATACACTTCTTTCACTATTCAGAAGAGAATACTGAAACCGTTCGGAAAAATTGACTGCAATGCTGAAATGTAATGTTGAACAAATCAAAACTGTCTATTAAACATTTATAGAAAATGACATGTGGCCTGAAACCTTTAGTAAGTAAATCCCAGGCCAAATTACTCCAATAGCATACTTTGTTTATGATTTCTCACCAATACTTTCATCTAAAAAGTGACAAGTAAGCACAGGTATAGGATATATGTATACTTTTGGCTCGTAAGACAATTACTCCATATTTCGTAAAAAAGAAGAAAATGAATCATTTTCTCATTTAATTCACAGAAATTTGCATTGAAATCATCATTCATCATTGATTTTCAATAACAATAAACGTTCATATCAGTAAAACAAAAAAAAAGGAAAAACTTACATAGTTTTCAATTTGACTAGAATTAGGTAATTTATAATTTAATTGAATAATACAACCTAATGTATCAGAATTCATCGGACTATGCAGTAAATGATTCTGTTGGTTGTGATGATCATCTTGTTTGATTTTCTCATCCAGCATTGATTTATTATTAATTTGTTTAAATTTAGAAAATGTTAAAAACAATCCAAGTTGATCATTGCCTTGTTCATTCAGACTATTGCTGTGATTACCATCTAAAGAGGCAACAAATAATGCAACTGGATATGATGTCGCTGTTGTTGTCACTTGACATGGAAACCATGCAATATATTTAAATGTTAAAGATGTATTCGATGAGACATTGGAAACAATTAATCGAGCCACTTCTGATATTCCACCATGTGATGATATATTACCGGATCCATTCATATCGGTCGTTGTGAAATGATTGTTATATAATTCTGTATTATTATTATGATTATTATTCATAGTATTGATAGTATGTTGTGGACAACGAAATTGATAATTTGACAATAATGATGATGTATAACCGGTGGTAAGTGGACCGACTGATGAAACATACCATAAAATTATTTCACTATAGTTGATCATTTTCCCATTGTCTGCATTAATTGGCAATTTTTCCAACTTCTGTTCATAATGTGATGTGCTTAAAGCTAAAGGTAGTATTGGATGTGGTACAATATTGTTTGTATGAAATCGATGTCCACTTAAACGTGCACAATTCGATACACCGACAATCCATTGATAACTAATAAGATGGATTTGAAATAGATTACATGATAATGAAAATTATTCATCATTGAGCAAATAAAAAACAGTTTAGTGATGAAAATTTTTTTTCCATAATACTAATTATCGAAGCTAATACAGTGGTTTCTGTGAATGAAACATCTGTCAACTACCGCGTAACTTATAATTTTCCATTAGTGAGCTAACATGTCTGTTTCCAATGTGTAAGATGATTCGCAATCATCATACTACTTAAATGCTATCGAGTAGTGTGATTGCACTGAGTTATTCTCATCTCGACCATATGATGTGAAAAATTACATCATATTTAAGTATGATGTTATGCAGGATAATAACTATTAAAGCTAATATATTTCAACATAAAGATATCATGTACGCTGAAACACATAAACTTAAATATAAATAATATGCTGTGCATATATACCGGAGAGAAGAGATATGTGTTTGAGACGGAATAATTGTTCAAAGTTAATCAGTTTTTAATGATTGAATATCAGTTTCGAAGGGACATTAAATCATACATTTACATGCAGTTTCAATAAACAAAACAGAACATTCAATAATGAATATATCTAACAAAGAAATATTGATCACTAAATTTGTGAGTCCTCAAAACATCAATGTGCATGCATGCATTCCCCCTGTAAAGATTCAAGTCTGAGTCATTCAGTTACAATGCCAGTACCCCTCATTGCATTCGAACCTCATACAATTAATGATTTAGATGAAACTCACCGATCTACACAACCCCATACTAAAGATGATGTTTTGACTAGGTGATCACAATATCACGAAATGAAAGAAAGAATAGGATAGAAATTTTATCTGTAATTTTATCTGTGCATTTCTTTTATTGATAATAATTTTTGAAGTTGATCAGTCACTAGTGCTTATCGAGTTACAGTAGCTTTTAGGGTATGAAGCGAAAGGCACTTGGATTTGAGCGTCAGTGTGAGTAACGAATACAAGAGATCCAGGTGACACACAACCAACGAATCCTACGCGAGATAAAATATGACTGGTGGATCCCATATGAAGCAAATAATTTCAGTATACTAAAACATGATGATTATATTTTTTTTGTCAACAACTTAAACTTACTGACTGCTCTCTGATACATCAATACGCCAATAACGTAATGAACCATTAGTATGCATAGTGATCATAGCCACATGTGAAGAGTTCTGAGTTCGTGTTTGAAGAGATGCTGAATTCAAATGAATCTAATCAAATGAATGAGGGATTAAGGAAATCAAAACAACATATGAACAGGAAAAAACACAAGCAAATTAATAAAGGATTAAAATGAAGAAACAAACTGAAAAATAATTGAAAAGGTTACATTGTACATTATGATAATAATAATAAGCTTTGAAAATGAATCAGTCAAATTTAACATAGAATTATTAGTTGGATTCTAAGTAATTCAAGTTACGATAATGGATTGTTTGTACCTACTTAAATAGAAAATCAAAGAAAAAAAAAAAATGGTGGTCGGTAGTGGAATTCACAATGAGTGTTTCGGCTCATTTGGAACTTTTTAGCTGGTTTTACCTATATTCTGGTGTTGATCTTTACATTTATTGTTGGGGAGGTTAGATCCCCAGAACTCGCTTGATAAAGGTCCTAACTTTACATTGTATTCATGGGCTGATCTGTCCAGCTTGAGAGTACATTTCCCAACATGGAAATCCTTGACTGTCATTGGTTGATGTGTTATTTTAGTACGCAATTTTGTGGCTCTCCCACGGACGTTTCTATGGTGTATAAATAAGCGCGATTCGTGTGCTTGAGATCATGATATTTTCTAGGTGCTTGTAGAATACACTTTTTATGCAATATCAAGAGTTCTTCTTCAGTTAGACGGGGCAACGGATCAGAGTAGCCTATCGTGTCAATGGGTCATTGTCTCGTTCTCGTTTATCGACTAAGGTGAACTCGTAACAGTTTCAAGCATATCAATTGACGAGTATAACAACATAGAATTAAACGAACGTACTGAGATGATAGAGAAAATTTTTAGATCAGGTGGATGATTGTGATTGAGTTTCGTCCTCTGAGCTTAAACTTTTTGATTGTGGAGCTTTCATTGTTCTTCCGAACATCATCATCAGTACAACCAAAACATCCAGCTCAGAGAACGAAACTCCATCATAAACAAAGGTAATTTTGCTTTAAACACTAACACATTGTCCGCTGAGCTACTAGATCCTAGGTAACGGACACTGATTTGTTCACTAAGTGCGATGTTAGTATCAACATTATTAAGAGTTTGGAATCCTCTGTTGTCGACATTCACGACTGAATTTTGAACCATCTTTGTTGCGATATCCCGATCCTGAGTTGATTGCTCTTGATATATTCCATAAATCACAGGTTATTTTATAATAAATGGATTATGGTTAGCGATAGTATTATTCAGAGATTACGTTTTGCCTTAACTGGGACTCATCATCTGAATATAATTGCATTCCTATGTTGATGCAATCGATCAATGTTAGGCCACCATTAGAAATCTGAAAGCACTGGAAGGTTGTGTTGTCTAACCGTGCCTGGCGTGAGATATTTACCTACGGATACGAAGAATGAGGTCGCACAATATCGTGAAATCATTGAAGTTAGACATTAATACTGTTAAATGCCAACCCAGTGATCGAGAGGTAAACATTTGCACGCGAGACCTAAGGTTCTGGGTTCGATTTCTGCCTAAGGGGTCGTGGATGAGCAGTGCCACTGATGAGTTCCATATTAGGACGAGACTGACGTCCAGTGCTTTCGAGTTGTTAATGGTGATTTAACATTGATCAATTTATGACTACAAAGAAAAGAAAGAGAAATATTGAAATTAATTTACCTGAGCCAAAGTAGACAAAATTGGTTTCAATATGGTCTGTTTGAATTGTTTTAAATTATTATTATGATTACTATTATTATTATGCATATATTTCTTGGACATTTCTGACCATTGTAATAAATACTGTTTAATTGAATATTTCAATAAGAATAAATGACAAAATATATTCAAATTATCTTGATAATTAATTGTCATTAAATGTTTTTCAGTATTTTCAGTAGTATCGGATAGAATTGGTTGTTGTTGATTAGTGGTATTTTCAGTATGAAAATAATCAATTGGATTTTTGGAACAATCCGTTGTTAAATAAGTGAATAATTTCGGTAATAGAGAATTAGCTGCATCCAATGGTATCACTTGATGTAAACGTGATCTTATACTACATGTAACTTGTGTTAAACGATTATTCATATTTGGTATAAGTGTGAATGATGATTCATAACCAAATTTACTATCACGACCGGATGATGATGAGGAGGAGAATGATTCATGTGGAATGATTACTTTATGAGTTCGTATACCTTTTGGATTAGGAACAGACAAATCCAAACCGTGTATATACCTAAATACAATTTATTGATTTTTTTGTAAAACAATAAAGATGGAATAATTAACATTTGATGAAAAGATTTTTTTTCATGGTCAACCAAATCATTATCAGTGAAAAAAGAATATGACATAAATGTAGATTGGTTTAATTTGTCATGGTACATTGCTTTAGTAAGATGGAATTATTGAAATGAATAGTATACAACTAGGCAAAATCATTGTTTGATCAATGATGATAGTGAGCATGACCGAAACATAGAAAATATAGTTTATAAAGAGTATGTGTATGGAATGATATTGCAAACTATGGACGAGAAGAATATAAAGAACAAATGTCGACTCTGGACGATGGTTATTTAACACTTACGACCAATGATCAAAGCTATCGAGCAAAATCTGATGTAGTTCCCTAATTTAGGTGTAATGAAAGAATTGTGCTGCTGTGTCAAGTCACAAAGTTTCGAATGAGTTTACGTGCTACAATACATTCATCCTATTTCAGGGTAGCTACAGCCTCGTACCATTTAACGAATTATTTCACTTTTAACAAGAAATAAGAGTTAGCCTTCTTCGATATAAGAAGTAACCCCATAATATCGATTTCGATCGGTCCGTTCTCACTGGTACTAATGGCGTGTTGTTTGAAAAGGTGATCTGCTACTAGTTTAAATGTTAAAATGTTTGCAAATTCCACTAAATCTAGGTCAATCGTTGGCCACCAAATTAACATTATACATTAGAAATTTTCTGAAATAAATCTCATCTACACTCATGAAGTCATATATTCAGTTAAAACACGTAATTGTCAAATGAATAATAATTAGAATTTATTAACGAATGATATTCAAAAAGCTAGTTTAATCTGGACAACTTATGAATTTATAAGATGATAATACAGCATATTTAAAAGCAAGAAGAATTGAGACATCGAGACATAATAAATACTGAAAAGAAAAGAACCATTTGAAAATCGATTAACAATAAAAACGTTTCTAAGAAAAGTTAGGTAATAATAGTTAGCAGGTGAAATTAAAACACATGTTCTGCTTCATTTTAGCACTATCCAACTGGATGTACCAGCATCTCTAACTGTTGATGTTCACTCTGATTCGTTACTGACCAATTCTGTTTAAAAATGCATGTGACTGATAGTAATAACAAAGCAATGAGCCAAAGGTGCACAAATACCGAAAAATGAAACTGATTAGTTTCAGTCCGCAACCCTAAGAAAGAAGAAGGTCCAAACCCTTACAATTATCACAAGAAGAAAGGAGAAAAGAAAACACGACCAAAAAACACTTACCAAACAATTAAACTTCCATCTAGAGGATGTATTGCAAATACAACATCCGGTGCATGATGTAATTCACTTAATAGTCGTAAAATAGTCTGATCCATCAAAGCTATTTGATCCAACAAATCTGGAGTCATGAAACTATGATTATTGCTATTGGATGTATTGTCCAGTGCTAAAATGTATAATATTTGCAAAAAGAAAAGTTGAAATAGACAAATGAAGTGATAAAACGAATTGACTTTATACCGTCTAATGCTAAAACTCTTGATAATAACTTCTACGTCGTCACTTAATATCCAAGAATTCTTCTACACTTTAACTCTAAATAGTGGAAAGGTGAAATTCCAGAAAAGCGATTTTACTTGAAGGTACACTAAATTAGGGTATACATATGGATATTTTTAGTGTTCTGGAAACTCTTGGAAGTATGTGACACATAACTCGTCACTTTTCTAGATGTTTTGAGAATTTTCTAATGGGTGCTAAGCGGGTGAAATTCTCTTGACTCGCAGTATCATATTTTGTTGTATCAGGCGAATTACGACAGTTTATCGTTAGAAGCGACCATAGATCCGCCAAATCGATTAAATTTCAAGGCACAACATGAATGATCAGCGCTCACTGGTGTTTTCACATATTTTTCAGCTAATTCGAGATAATTATAAAGATAAACTTTGATATTTTCTCTAAATTCTTACAAATGTATTTTTATTTATGAGTCGGTAATTTGGTAGACATGTAAATTTTAGCTATTGAACAACAGATTTGGTAATATTCACTCAACTTATCTAGTTTGTTATTGCTAGATATATATAAGAGATATATATTATAATGCAGATATATATGGCTAATGAATAAATCAAATTTAAGACAGTAAAGGTATCGAATTGATACTTGATTAAAGCTAATGTAAGAACTAATTACTAAGAAGCTTAAAACTAAGTATAAGTGATTGTTATTGATAAATCGTTCAAAGTAACTTGAGGAGTTTTTTTTGTGTTTGAAATGAAAGAACTAGTTGTACAAGCCATTAGAGGGGAAAATTACATTTTCAAGTCTCAGAAATTGAACTTTAAATCGATAGAAAATTTGGCTTGACTAACGGATCCTAGCTTTTTTTTTAAGAAAATATAATTAAACAACAAAACTAACAGAATATAAAAAAATACAAGGTTCATCGGTGGTTATCTGTAAGCTAAAAATGTTTTTTAATCATACGATTTCAATGCATTTATTGTTCATTTTATCTTCAATTAAAACTTCTAAACATAAACCTAAGTTTTCATTTTTAACCTTGAACTAAACACTTCTAACTTTATATTCCTTACACTAACTCTCCAACGTCACTTCATTCAGGTTTTAATGCAATACATTACTTTCTGACATTATTTGGATTCTAAGTGGATAATAATAATAATAATAATGGAGCTTCTTTCTCAAATTCACTTTCCGAGTCATTCACGACGCATATTTTTATTAGTAACATGATCCCGCAATACAGTAGACATAGATTATATAAATTTCACTATAGGGTTGGGAAAGATTCCAGTCAGATGCAACGTAGAACTTTGTACATAAGTACATCAGTTCATGTTGCCATACCACATCAGCACAGAGAAGTAATTGTCAATTCAAATCCAATAGTAGAAGAGGTAGTAAAGGTATTAGAAGTAATCGGAGAGGTTAGGATTAGAAGATAGTATTCAAGAAGTATGATTCAGTGAGAAAAGTTTAGAAAGTCAAAACTAGAGGGGTTGAAGAATCCGGAAGATTAGGATTTGAGAGAACACAAAGAATAAATGCACTGGCGCCATTGCGAACGATTTTCAGCCATGTCATTCAGGGTATCTAACCATCGATTATTATCATCTCGCGGACCCCAACCAGGTAGTCGACAATTATCGACATGGCTAAGTCCACTCGTCAATGACTTCATGGATTTATGCCATGTTTTGGTCTGGCCGCCTCTAACTTTCTTCCAACCTAGTCCTACACTACAAAACAAAGCTCGACGAGGCAGTCGGTGGTTAGGCATACGCAACACATGTCCCAACCACCTCAACTGATGAAGTTTCATCACTTCATCGATTGATCTGCCATTCTTACCTAGTACCCGTTTCCTAATAAAAGCGTTGCTCACTCGGGTGTCCCACGATATACGAGCAATGCTTCGAAGACACCTATGATCGAAAACCAGTAACCGACGAATATCTTCTACTCTCAATGGCCATGTTTCACAGCCATAAAGTAAGACGGAGCGAACCACTGCGCAGTACACTCGTCCTTTAGTCAGCAAACGGATATCTCGCCTACGCCATGAGTGACGTAGGTTGGCAAAAGCCAATCGAGCCTTCTGTATCCGTGCTGAGATTTCGTCAGTCACCAGGCCATCACACTGATGAGACTCGCAAGATAAGTGAAGCGGTCTACACGTTCGACTACTTCACTCCCTATCACTAGTTCAGGTGCCAATGCAACCCTGTCTTGAAGCAACATTTTGCATTTCGAGGGGGAAAACCGCATACCGAACATGCTTGCATTGTTGCTTAGGGTAGTCAGAAGACTCTGCATTTTGTCAGCGTCTTCACCAAGTAGGACTATGTCATCGGCATATTCTAAGTCAATAAGCGAGCCACCTGGTAGAAGGTGGATAGAAGGAGGATAATGTTATGTCTAGGAGCATGTCTATGATAAAATTAAACAAGAATGGAGAAAGTGGACATCCCTGACGGACACCACTTGATGTAGAGAATTCCGGTGACAGTTCGTCATAAGCCCTCACTCGACCAGTGGTGTTCGAGTAGAGAGCTTGTATAAGGTTAATGTACTTCTTTGGTACACCTTTCAATGACAGGAAAGATTCCTGAGGTTCATCGATTATAAAAACCTACTACACTGAAGTTGTGCCTCGACGAGCTATGTTTTGTGATGTAGGAGTAGGTTGGGAGAAAGCTAGGGGCGGCCAAACCAAAACATGGCAGAAATCCATGAAGTCATTGAGAAGTGGATTGAGTCATGTTGGTAGATATAGGCTACCTGGTTGGAGTCCGCGAGACGAAAGTCACCGAGGGTTAGAGACCTTGAACGACATGGCTCAAAATCGTTTGCAATGGCGCAGGTGCATCCACTCTTTATGTTCTCTTAAATCCTAATCTTCTAGATTCGTCAACACCTCTACCTTTGTCTTTCTAAACTTATCTCACTAAATTATACTTCTTCAATAATATCTTGGAACCTTAATCTTCTCCTCTACCAGTAGTACTTCTACTGTCTCTACCACTATGGGATTTGAATTGACAATTACGTCTCTCTGCTAACATGTTATGGCAACATGAAGATGATGATAGAAACAAAAAAAGAAATATGATTAAACATACCAATATGAACTGGTATAGCTAAAATTCGCGATATTGTATCTTTTAAAAACGATTCCAATTGTGTATTCAAACGATATTCTTTATTATTAAACCAGTGGGCAACAAATCGACCGACATGCGTATTGCTATATAAAGTTAGAACAAATTATAACAAATGAAATTAGTTTAGTTAAACAATAATTTTGTTCAATGGATATTTAAATAGTATTTATAGAAGTTGTTTTTATTTGTTTTTTAAAGTCTGAACTGAAATAAAATCCAAAAAGAATGTTGAAATTCTCTTGTCCCCTCCTCTGAAGTCATCTTAATCACTGTTTGTTAAAGAGGAGAATTATTATTAAGAGTTGAGATGATGAATCAAAAATTAGAACTGTCATCATGAAATAACATAAATATCATAATGCTAGGATATCATTCAATTATATGGATGAATGAAATTCAAGTAAAAAAAAATCAATCAGACTCTATCTTAAATTTGATTACTTTGATCATAAATTATAGTCCCAAATTAATCGGATTGGTGAACTAGCTATTCAACACTGAAAAAACTAAGCGCTATTAATTTTAAATCACTGCTACTGAATGAATATACATGTGAAAATAATAATAATTATTATAATAAGCTTACTTATTTGGTGAAGAGAGACTGCATATTTCCGGAAAACAATCCAATGGTAAAGATGTGGTAAATGTGAATTGTGGAAGTGTATTCGGGGTATAGTTAAAGTGTTTATTATTTATCTTCATTGTAGACAATGGTACTTGTGAGCCATAATCCACTTCAATTTTTGACAAAGGATCAGTTAACCTAAATTGTATAGTTTTTATCAATAAAAATGTACAGAAATATAACATGAGAAAGTGAGATATTATTTATATTGTATAAATTTGAAAATCTATGCGTACAAGTTACGTTAGAATTTGTTCAAGTGATTCATTTTGCAGTTAGTTCAAATTCAGATTAGTCTAGTAAGTTGGTTGGTTAATTGTAATGATTAAATGAAACCTTACTCGCTAAACGGAACGAAGATCAACGATGCAGTGACACGAAACGCTACTCTGATCCGATTGTCCCAGGACCCGCTAACTAGAGCAAGAGGTCTTGATAAGGCGTAGAGAATGTATTATACAGGCAGCCAGAAAGGTTGAGGTTCACAAGCACACAACTGAAGCTTATTTATACAATGATAAAAACACCCTTGGTGAGAGCCGCAAAAATAACGTACTAAAATAATCTATCAATCAATGACAGTCACGGATTTTCCGAGTGGGAAATGTGAACTGAAGGTCAACTAAGCGTCTTTGAAGCGAAGATATAAAAATTAAAAAAATTTCAGAATAAATTACAAAATTAAGACCTTTTCTGAGTGAGTTCTGGGAATCTAACGTCCCCAACATTTTGAAATTCAGTTTGTCATGGATTAACTTTGGTTAGTGGGCTATAAACCGATTGGTAAGTGCTGTATATTCGCTTCAAAGCTTGAAAGTTATAATTTAGATGATTGACCAAGTCCAAGTAACGATGAGGAACTTCGAACTTGGGAGAAACATGTATCCAGTGCTTTATGGTCCTTAATGATTTCCTAGCTGAAAATAATCCGTGACGTAATTCATCCTAAAGTTGAGATAAGCTATTTATGTTAGGTATTCTGATGATTTTATCATATAAACTATAAGAGACATAGTTAAAATTTAACCGTACACACAAATTGAAGCTTCTTCCCATAACATAATAATATTTCCGAATCAGTAAACAACAAAACCATGAATATACACTTCGACAAGTTATCAAGTAACCTAGAAATAGCCTCCACATGCCGTGGTAAAGCCGATAGTGAAGGGAGTTTACTCTTCCCCATATATGGCCTCGAGTTTATAGTAACTGTTATGGAAGTCCTAATCACTTCAACCTCATCGTACAGGTGTTGTTGACGAAATTGAGAAGACGAAAAGCGAGTGCCCGGCCAAGGCTTAAACCGGGTTGGTGGGTATGGGTATGGAGAAATTGAAAAACCGTGATTCCGAACTAGTGATGCACATGTGCTTCAGTATCCCGATAGAAAATGGTGCGTAAGCCTTTTGCTGATCACCGGCCACCATGAGACTGCAACTCCTGGTGTCGCTCCACTGCCCTATAGAGTAGGTCTCTTGGTGAAACACTCAGGGAGTGAGTGGTCCTCTAAGAAAACTACCTGTTTCAGTTTAGGCAACCAAGCTCACTCACAAATTCACTAATTTGTGTGACACACAAATATTTAGGTGCTCATTTGTATAAATATTTATGTGTTTAACTAATAAACAAAGCCTAAAAATAATCATTAAAAATGATCATTCGAAGTAAATCATTAGCTGTTCAATAACACTTCAATCAATTTGATGGATAACTAAAATTACTATTTATTTATAAGAATTATACATTTGATTAATAATCAGTAACATACCATAAATCTAGAAAATGTTTTAAAAGTGGATGTGTTAAAAAACAATTAGGTAGTTCTAAATTCAAATAATGTGTTGATGATTCATGCGATGGATTGGTTGAATCATTCGAAACTTTCATTTTAAATTGTTCATCGGTTAAATGACTTAAAGGTAAACGTAGTTTGATGCTACCAGATGATATCTAGGGAAAATAATGAACAGCACAAAATTAATGTAATCCAACTTGAAAGTTACAAATAATGAATGTGAAGAATAACTTCAACTATTAATTATTGAAATTAAAATATTTGGATTCATTTAAATAATGGACTATGTGACAAGAGAACAGACATTTAGTTGCCCTGTTTGACAAAAGGTTCGAGCATTGAAAGCTCCAACGTGTTATTTAGAACGGAGTTCCAGGAGGCCAGAAATAACATTTCGTGAACTCGAATAGTTTGCATTAGCGGTGCAAAGTGATAAAGGAATGTGAAAAGGGCTGGTCGTGAAGATAAGAGAGTTATTAAGAGGTGAGGGAAGGATTTGATTGAGACAACGTTGGTCTCGTGTTCTGGTACGAGTGTAAGGGTGGAAACACCTTACTGCTGTCACACCTCTCTATCGCCAGCAGTACAACTTCGCCCTCAGACCTTGACTTGCTGCTTTTAGTCTTACCGTTCTCCAATCGACCTGCCTGGTATGGTAGGACCTAAAGGAACATATGTTCCAGCTAATATAGCTCGGTTGGATCATCACGATAGGCAAGTCTGACCAACACGTTAAGATAGCAGCTACTGTCGAATTTCAAATGTTGTAAAACTAGAAAATTTATTTCGAATCAAAATATTAACAGTAAAAGCAAGAATTTGTTTATCATTTAAGTATACCTAATTTTACCCGCTGAAGATAATGAGTGATGGCCACAAAATATGGTGGATTGATTGAAGCTACACATTAACATCGTTGTATACCGACTCAGTTTGAATTCAGTCTGTTTTAAGTAAGGTAGAACCTGACAAATATGTGCATTAGTTTCATTTGCCAGATAACAGCAGCACAGGGAGATGAAATTATCAAGACAAATGCTAGATTAGAGAAGTGCTGGCAGTATCAATGATAGTAGAAAACATTATGTATAAACGAGATGATTTGAAAATAAAGGATTAATAGCTTCAAACTGTAACCACAAGATTATATGCATACATACGTGCAGGAAAAAACTACTTACTGGAATTTCTGAGTCGTCCTTAGAAATTGGTTTGGATAGTAAAGAAGTACTTTTGTAAGTGTTTGAAAAATGGTTCGTTGAAGGGCGAGAAACTTCAATCCATATACGACACAAATTATCTTCACTGGCAGTTAGTAATACATTTGTCATCCAACCACTGGGAAGAAAACAAAGTAGAATTTTACACTATAAGGACAGAACACACATTCTTCTGTAAAATTACTCAAAGGTCCGAATGAGTTTCTCAGTCGACAGACGTTTGCAGTTGCAGCTGATCAAGCGAGTGGTTAAAAACATGACTTAGTCTGTAATACTAAATACTGAATTCTGCAACATATTTAAAAATTTTCATACAAAATGAAATTCAACAACCGATGAGATAAGGTATAGAAAGTATGCTTAACATTTTTAATTGTACATAAAGTAAGGTTTCTACTGGAGCGACCTACTAACTGTTTGGGAATTCGGTATTAAACAATAAATGGACAGGGATCCTTCCAAATTCTCATCGGTGATCCCTTCCCTTTTTGATTTCTGGATGCTCAATAATGAACACAACATACTGCAGACACTGTTATTAAGTATATCCATTATTCCAGGCCTTTCTAAAATGCCTAGACCAGGGTTAGGTCGGTCTAGTTGACAGGATATTCCTTCGGAGTTGATTCCATTGAAGGAAATTTCGCACTGTAACTCACTGACAAGTTACAGTACACCTACAGACTCGTTTTTTTGCTGTCTTTTTAGATGCTTTCATAAGCGGTTTCCCAAACTGATCATACATTTTTCGGCACACAAGTGTGATATCAGATGTCATGTCCATTTGAAAAGTTTTCCACTGTACGGCAACAGTAAGTATAGTTGCCATCCAGAACTTGACGTAAATTTAAGGTCTGATTGAAATAGATTTATCCTCTTTTTGATGCGTCTGATTTTCGTCAGCAAAGTGCTTTTGAGCTTGTTAGGCGTCGAATAGTTATTAATTCCAGGATTTAAAAGTATGTATCAGTTACTCTAATCCTACCGTGGTTATTGTGAGATCTTTCCCTAATAATTGAAATAACCAACTTCTGGTTTTGATATTTAAGCTGATACCTCAGTTCAGCTATTAATTCCTTGACGACTTTAGAGACCATTGATCGATTAAATAACCTTACCTCGGAAGATATCTGCTAGTATGGCGCCAACTAAACGAACAAACATTACAAGGATGAGGTAAGCAGATAGATTCCCAATTTTCAGTCATTCGAAACTGTTCATTATAACTGTTTTTCGATTGAATTAAATCAGAGTAAGGATCACGGAACCATACAAGCATTTCGGTATCAGACTTTCGATCACTATATTGACTTCTTTTATCATGGTGTTTAGTGATGGTGGCAAAATATGAACCATCTGGACTGAAATCAATTTGCAAAGGAGTACCTGGATGAAGGAAAAGTACATATATACGGTTAATACGATGGATTAGACTACACAAACTTTTTCTAGTAAAATAATAAAAGGCTAATAGCAGCTAAGCGAGGCACTGTACTACAAAATCAATCAAGTCCTCTTTGTGGAGTAGTAACAAAGCTATCTTAGCCATTTGGATAAAGGAAGATAGAGTATACCCAGTTGATTAGATCTCGTATTATCGTTGCATGATCAAGACAAAAAATACCAACTTTTAATCCGGAAACATTGAATAATAATTATAATTAAGATTCATAAATTAACTGAATATAGGGCTAGTCACCTCTGTTAATAGCTAGTGAACCTATATATTCATTTTATTTATAGACTGTTAATAACGGTTCAAACAAACAAATCCGATTGAGACAGTTACATTTCTACAAAATTAAGTGTATTTGTCTACATGATCAAGCAAATAATTCAATCGGCTTTAGTTTTGTTCATATCATTAAAAGTTTCCCATTATAGAAATTACTGTCTTATATATATATATATATATATTTCAGAGTAGTCATCCGTTAATTTATAGTTATGGTGGTGTTCAACTTGATAATTTAAGCGAATACAGGTGTTACACTAGAAAACATTACAAGTGTAAATTAACAATGTGTACAGAAATACCAAGGAAGCAAAATGTATTCAGAAAAATTCGTCAATTTAAAGTCAAAGGTTTTAGTCCTTAAATGGTGGGATTAAATGTGTCTAAGGAATGAACTGTTGAGAGGAACTAATAACAAACAAAACATGGGAGAAACGATTATACCGTTTAGTCGATGACACCATACAATTTTCCATTTAGTCGATACTCCTGCTGACAGAGATTCCTTAAGGACAGAGTCAGAGTCGAGACCATGTTCTGAACCGGTTGAGCTAGCTCCAACATGAAAATGGAGGGTTGATTCAGTAGTATTGCTTGTAACGCCTGATCTCCACATAAATAAGCTCCCATCATTAAGGCCTGCTAATAAGCCAATATCTGGGAATTGAAAACATGGTCTATGAGACCAAGAAAGACATGAAACGTCCGCCCTCGATGGTAATGACAGATGACTAGAGAACAACCAAAATAGTTTCGACGAGTTTGCGAGTAAACATTCTGTTGTTGCCTATAATGGAAGATTATTGAATGACACACATAAAAACTGTATAATGATCCTAAAAAACTATTATCAGATGCAATTATCGAAAAAAACTCACTGGCTTGTGTTGGCACATGAACTAGTGATAGGGAGTGAAGTAAATGAGTATGTTAACCGCCCCACTTAATTGTAAACTACCTAGCTGCGGTTGGCGAGTCGATATTAACCGATGGTTAGAGACCTCGAATGGAGTTGCTTAAAATTTCTTTTAATGGTGCAGATGCACTCAATCTTTGTCTTTTCTCGAGTTCTAATCTTGTGAACTGCTCATGACTTTTTCTAATTTTAAATTTATCTCACTGGGTTTTACTTCTCGAATCACATCTTAGAACCCTAATCTTCTCTGTTGCCTCTAATGCTTCTATTAACTCTGAGACTATGGAATTTGGATTGATAATTCCATTTAAGTGTTAATGTCGTGTAGAAACTTGGACTGATGTACGTACGTACCAAGTTTTATGTTGTTGCTGACTCGACCAAAACATGGCAGAAATCCATGAAGTCATTGACAAGTGGACTGAGTCATGTTAGTAGATGTAGACTACCCGGTTGGGGTTCGCGAGACGAAATCACCAATGGTTAGAGACCTTGAACGACATGGCTCAAAATCGTTTGCAATGGTGCAAGTGCATCCATTCGTTGTGCTCTCTCAAATCCTAATCTTCTGGAATCGTCAGCACCTCTACCTTTGTCTTTCTAACCTTATCTCACTGAATTATACTTCTTAAATAATATCTTCAAACCCTAGTCTTCTTCATTACCATTAATACCTCTACTATCTTTATCACTATGGGATTTGATTTGACGTTTGCGTCTCTAACCTAATGTGGTATGGCAACATGAACTGATGTACTTACGTACGAAGTTATACGTTGCAACTGACTGTTGCTGACTGACTGACTGACTGACTGGTCTCTACTACCATATATCTAACCTATTTATTTATTTGCTTAGTTCTGAAATTAAAACTTTCTTACTAGCCTTGGGATTTTCTACTATCACTCTCAATATTGCAACCAACTAATCTCCTGCATGATAGAGTGATAGCTGTTGGTATCCAGAAACCCTACTGCCCTAAGACAAACACAAGCAAATTACAATACACATAAATTGATAAATAACTACCAACTAACTAGAATTAGTGCAATCAACTAGCTAGAATACCATCCATTAGAAACTACCGAATACCTGGAACTGTACCGAGACAAAAAGAATTGTGTGCAGAAATCAACTGGTCTACACTAGCTCATGATAAAGATATCGCATACTAACAGTATACGCCACAAAAATTATTCATTTTACTAGAGGAGTCCATCAGTGATTAAGGCAAGGAGAATGAATTTTAAAATCATTATTGACTAGTCAACATGAAAAGGGAATGCATATTACCAGAATGAGACATTGTATTCGTTTACAAAGTCACTGATTATTGGTTTAAATTACGTACGAAGACATCCCCCATGGTTTAGGTGTGCAATACAAGTACAATTAACGGCTAAAGACTGCCCGTGATGTAGCTTAGAAGCGATTGGCCTATTGAAGATGGCAACTCTGTACCTCAAACAAGACTTGGAAGATAGTTAGTGGGACTTATTTACTTGTGAATCTATGTAGTGCTTATTTCAGCGAAACGTACACGAGAATTTAATTCCAAATATACTGCTCAGAAATAAGAACAGAAATTAGATTTGTGTGACCGAACAACAGAACTGTACTTACTATTTTGGTTGTCATGTCAACAAATAAGCCAATTATGATATAAATCGATTAATAAGTTGATAAAAGTTAAAAGACTACTTGGAGATAAGATAAATAAATGATGCTTTAAAATCCATTTGAATATATTCTAATAAATATGACACTTTACATACTTGTGGTATGAAAATAAATATCCCATCAGAGTTAGCAACAGCAATCTGCAAAATGATATATATTACCTAGCAACAAACCTTTCCATACTGGTGATTAAAAGCCACAGCTGTTATGACAGAATTTCCAAACTCACATCCTGAAATCACCTGACTGCGACAAAACGATTCATCCAAAATAACTAGGTCGCAGCCACTGGCATACGCCTAGAAAGAAAGAGTCAAACTTTTAACACTAAACCAACAACATAGTTAGATCCTCGAATCTTTGCTTGAGCAATATGCGAATAATCACCGTTACATGAACCAGTTATCACTTGGTGAACTCTCATCAGAATAACGACCCGACCTAGAGATTGAAAAACGTACTCATCAGATTTACATCCAATATCCAATATCTTTTTCACGAGCTAGTGTGAACCAATTTGATTTCTTCGCGCTCGATTCTTGTTCTTTCGGTACGGTTCCAGGTATTTGGAAGTGCCCAATGGATATTAGTCTAGTCACTCGGATGCACTAATTCTAGTCAGTTGGTGGAGGTTTGTGAGTTTGTATGTCCCGTGATTTGAATGAATACTTTTGTTTCAGGGCAATAGGGTTTCTAGATACCGACAGCCATCCCATTAAGAGACCGGAGATCAGTTATTTGCAGTTTGGTGAATAATAAGGAGGAAATTCCAAGGGTAAAAAGATTTCAGAACTAAGTAAATAAATGGATAATGAAGTTGGTTAATCGGTAGTGAAAACTGTGTGGGAGGACAGAAATGTAAGCATGGGAAAGTAATCAGACATAATAGGCGAGAGCGACTGAATTTGTGATATGAGGATATGGCAATAATAAAATCCAGAAGGTCTCAAGACATGCGTCAGTCACAGCTTGTCCATGAGGGAGATGATAATCCTGCTGAGAGGGCATTCCAAGTTGCAACGATTCCTAATAAGAAGAGGTGTGCACGGACCTGAATGTTCGCTGTTTGATGTGAAATTTCTCAAGGGTTACCTAGAGAAGCGTGCTGGTTATGCTTCGGTAAAATTCCAATGTAAAGAAGGTTTGGCGTGCCTAATTTGTTGCACGTCATAATCAGATTACTCTGATTCTCCTGTAGCTCAGCGAGTGCTGATGTCTATCTTCGTAAGCCTTATTCTTCAACCCTATCGCTCATTTTGTTGCTAGTCTCCGAACTTAATCAGAGAGGTCTATGTCTCTTTAAAGGAGAGGGAGAGCGACGACGTTGTGAACAATAAAGTGTGGGCGTGCATATGTTTTCAACAACAGTAAGAATAATTCTTGGATGTTGGCATCTAGTTGTCTTTGCACGAAGTGAAGAGTTGCATTTGCATTGGCTGCATCCCCTTCATAGTTCAAACTGATGAAGGGGCTTTCAGTGGTTATTTAACCGAGATCGCGTTCTTAGGAGATATGAGGGAGCGGACCTCCACTGAATATGTAAGTCCCTCGTATCACTTGGGGTGATTCCTCTTCTCTTCTAAAGGACTTCTAAATATTCGCATCGACTGCGTGGACAAATGCCGCCGAACTAACTTTGTCTGACAGATCATAAATATATTTCAGGAGAGGACCTAGCAGTCTCGTGTGAACATCCCGATGTTACGTGCACTCTACTTAACCGTATCCATGGATTTTTCAAAGTCAAGAAATATTGTGTACAACGGAATTTTTCGATCCCGGCAGGATTATCAGAGGTCCCATGATATGAAAAAAATATCACACTCATGACATGCCATTCGGAAACCTGTGTCCAGATTCAAGGAGGGATTTGTAATTATGCGTGCACTTCCTCATTTGTTCATTCTCCAGTCATTCTTTTAATATCGATAATATTGGTAGCAAGCTGGGCCCTTTCTTTATACTCCTTAGAAGATCATAGAAAATATAGCTTGTTCCAATTCAACTGGAAGTTGCTTACTTACTTACTTACTTACTTACGCGTGTTACCCCCAATGGAACATAGGCCACTCACCAGTTTCCTCCAACCAACTCTGTCCTGGGCTTCCATTTCCAGTTCTGTCCAATTTTTGTTCATTCCTCTCATATCTTTCTCTGTTTCTCGGCGTAATGTGTTCCTTGGCCTTCCTCTTTTCCTTTTGCCTTGAGGGTTCCAAGTGAGGGCTTGTCTCGTGACGCAGTTAGGTATTTTCCGCAATGTGTGTCCTATCCACTTCCACCACTTCCTCCTGATTTCCACCTCCTCTGGAATCTGGTTTGTCCTCTCCCACAGTACGTTGTAGCTGATCGTGTCTGACAAACGAGTCCGAAGTATTTAGCGTAGACAACTGTTCATAAACACTTATATTTTCTGGATGATGCCTTTCGTAGTTCTCCATGTTTCCGCTCCGTACAGTAGAACTGTCTTGACATTTGTATTGAAAATCCTGATTTCGGTGTTGATTGATATCTGTTTGGAGTTGCAGATATTTTTCAACTGTAGAAATGTAGCCCTTGTTTTGCTAATCCGTGCCCTCACATCTGCATCGGATCCACCATGGTTGTCGATGATGCTGCCCAGATATGTAAAGGTGTGTAACGTCCTCCAAGGCATCTCCATCAAGAGTGATTTGGTTGGTGCATGTTGTGTTGCATCGGAGAATCTCGCTTTCTCATTCATGTATGTTGAGACCTACTGCTGCAGAGGCTGCTGCTACACTGGTCGTCTTCTCTTCCATTTGTTGTTGCGTGTGCGATAGAAGAGCCAGGTCATCTGCGAAGTCCAGATCGTCCAGCTGCGTCCTAGCTGTCCACTGAATACAGTGTTTCCCTCCAGATGTTGACGTTTTTATAACCCAGTCGATGACCAGGAGGAAGAGAAAGGGTGAGAGTAAGCAACCTTGCCTGACACCGGTCTTCACCTCGAAAGAGCCTGTTAGCTGTCCTCCGTGCACTATTTTGCAGTTGAATCCATCATAAGAATTCCGTATGATGTTGACTATTTTCTCAGGCACACCGTAGTGTCGAAGAAGCCTCCACAGTGTTTTCCTATCCACAATATCGAATGCTTTCACGTAGTCGATGAAGTTGATGTAGAGTGGTGAGTTCCATTCAATTGATTGTTCCACAATGATCCGTAATGTAGCAAGTTGGTCAGTACACGATCGATCCTTACGAAATCCGGCCTGTTGATCTCGAAGTTGAGCGTCTACAAAGTCCTTCATTCTGTTTAACAATACCCTGTTGAAGACTTTGCTTTGAAGAGGATGTGAAATATTTTCGCAGTTGCTTCTACATCTGCTTTCATTGCCTCTGCTTGAATGTTGTCTGGTCCTGCTGATTTGCCGCTCTTGATTTGTCTGATGGCCATACTGATCTCCTCAATGGTAGTTGCGCCAATATTAATTGGGACGTCCGTGGGTGCTGCTTCGATGTTGGGTGGGTTCAGTGCAGCTGGTCGATTCAATAGTTCCTTAAAGTGCTCTACCCACCTATTTCTCTATTCTTCAGTGTTGCTGATTACTTTGCCTTCCCTGCTTTTCCGGCGAGCTTCTTTGTTGTTTCGTACAATTGTCTCAAGTTTCCATCTCTTGCAGCCTTTTCCGCCGTCATTTCTAGATCTTCCACATATTTTCGTTTGTCAGCTCTTATGCTCTTCTTCACTTCCCTGTTTGCTTCTGTGTATGCAGCTTGTACGGTAACTTTCTCTGCTCTTGTTCGGCTGACATTGATTGCTGCCCACTTGTTCCTCCTTTCTACAATTTTTGCAAGAGTACCAACAGAGATCCATTCCTTGTGATGGTGCTTCTTGCGACCAAGGACCTCCTGACATGTTGAAGTGAATGCCTCCTTAATTCCTTTCCCATTGTTCTCCAATGTTGCTTTCTCTCCGTTGAGTAGATCCTGAAAGGCCTGGAACCTATTGGTGAGGGCTATCTTGAACTCGTTGAGTTTTACGGTATCCCGAAGGAAGGCTGTATTAAACTTCTGTGATGTTGTCTGCCCCGTTGTCCAGTGCTTCTTTAGCTTCAATCTCATTTTGGCGATCAGCAAGTGGCGATCTGAAGCTATATCAGCTCCTCTCTTGGTTCTCACATCCTCCATGGTCCTTCTGAACTTTTTGTTGATACAGATATGATCAATTTGGTTTTGAGTAGTGTGATCCGGTTAAATCCATGTGGCTTTGTGAATGCGTTTGTGCGGGAATATTGTGCCACCGATGACCAGTTTGTTGAAGGCACATAGGTTTGCAAATCTCTCACCGTTTTCGTTCCTTTCTCCCAGTCCATGTCGTCCCATGATGTCTTCATATCCAGTGTTGTCCATTCCAACCTTGGCATTCAGGTCTCCCATAAGAATCGTCAAATCCTTTGGTGAACATTTCTCCTTACTCTCATTTTATTATCGAAACTGAGATCTAGACTGAGGAATAAATGTCTAGGTAGTTTGGATAAGCGCCTTGCCCAGAGTAAACCAGAACAACTGATTTGGGTAAATGACGGTTCTAATATTCATCATACATTTAAAATTACATCAGCACCTACACAAATATTACCACTCACTTATTCCATCAAAAGTAGTTCAATTATTCAAATCAACAGCTACAGATAACTGATTTTCTGTCACTCTTGGATAGATCAGATTCATTCAAAAAATAATATTTGGTCGCTTTATAACACAGAGTCCTTCTTATTCTGGAACGCTGATTCAATTCACAATCAAAATGCACAATTCCAGTCAAGGCAAGCGACACAATCAAAAGAGGAACAAATCAATATGGCTATCGCCATGACTAAGTATCAGCTCAAACAACACAAAAGCAGTTCAGAAAGAAACATAGAAACTCTGAAAGGCAAAAAAGCAGAAACTATAAAAAATTACGAATATTATCATCCCAAATGAAATTGAACAGGTTAACAAAGTGTACAACTGATGGAATCAGCAAGGACTTATTACAAATGTATCCGTGGAAGGATTTTCACAAACAAAGACTTCAAAAATTGATCCTACACTCATGTACCGGCCCTCAAGTTCTTACTGTTCCTGCATATCTCTCTTTAAAAGGCATAAATCCGTTGGTCTGAGTTCAGAGACGAGCGAATAAGTAAGTGATAGGGTTAAAAAGTAAACCTTAAGAAGATGGAACTACAAAATTTTAGCCTTTTCTCGCTGAGAAACCGGAGAAGTAGAGGTGATCTGATAATGGCATGCGAAATATTCTCGTTCACTACAGACTGTCTAGAATACAATCTATTAGAAACAACCGAATACCTGGAACTGTACTGAAACAATAAGAATCGAGATTGAAAATCAACTGGCCTACACTAGTTCGTGACGATGACATTTCAGATGTTAAATATCGGCATTGTGAAACACATACAATGAAGAAGTTCGGAGTAATAGGAGACACTTTCAGATGAAGCTAGCCGCCAAAAAGTAAACCTACGAACCCGGGTTTCTCAATTGTCCAAGTGGCGAAGATCATGCCAACATTTATATGGCTGAGATCTATAATGCCAACTTCACCGATCAGTTAAGGCAGCTACCTACAAGTTCATAGTACTACTCAAACAATGCCACTTGATGGCAAGTTATATTCGACTTACTCCTGACCTAGTGCTGAGAAAATCAAACTCCTTCCCCCGTATGTGACCTGTTTAGGAGTCACGGCAACTACCAGTTGAATTAAAACATGCTACTTTCTTAATGGAACACGAAAAATTATTCGACACTGTTTTCAACCTAACAGAAAATGCATGTTGTATTGTGCCGACTGCCAAGGCTGTTTAAATTTCATGTTACTGTATTGCATGCAGATTCTGATACACTCGATTTATAAATATCGTTTTATGATGGGTGCTTCAAAACTCCTTTTCAACCAGAGCTTGTTTTATCCAGAACTAGTCATTCCCGAGATCACTACCTGAGGTTCGAAAACCGTGCTAACTTTTTCCTTAACAAATATCCATCTCCGTTCAAAACAACGGGAATCATTTGAGATGTGGATCATTATATACCAGCAATTGACAAAGTTAATAGATATATTTGGTGTTTTAGTGAGCGATGACTGGAAAAACCTACTGAAAGAAGTGTTCTTTTTATAATAAAAACCAAAAGATACACTGAACATTTAAGCTCGTTGAAATTACCTGATGCGAATTGTCCTCAAGGTTACAACTACATTCAGAAATCTTGTAAAGCCCTATGTCATATGTCTGAAGATTCATCTATTTTGTCTTGTGGGCCCAAAAGACAATACGGAACTCTAGAATCTACTGCTACTTCACAGAATTCTCATAAAATTTACAACATCAAACCTGGAGATACTCTTGTGTCAATCGCAGTTCAGTTTGGGACAACAGTAAGAAACTTATTTCGTTCACAAATTTTCAAAAGGTGCAAAGATTGAGATGGATTAACCGTCTGTGGAGCTCAGACATTTCTAACATGACCACCTTAAAAGTTCCCGTAAAGTCTCAATTTGAGCCTAGCGGTTATATACACCACAATTCAATTGAGTTATGTACAGTGAAGAAGAAATCTGCACCTAGCAATGAAGAGGTCCCTCAAACAGCTTCAGCCAGCCTCTATTTCAAGGAACTCTCAGAAAGGGTTGAGAAGGCTAAGGAAGCTGCCTCCCGTTGTTTGGAGAAGAGCAGGTATAATCGGAAGATATTACTTGAAATTTTACCTTATCAATATTTCACTGTTATGTGTACGATATACTGTTTCTGTTTTACTATTGACTGAAATTCCCTGATCCATATTTCTGAACTAGGCAGTTATGGAGAGGTTTGATATGTGATATACCTTCAGTATTTCATGAACAAATACTGACTAGACTTCATATCCCTCAACTACTGGCTATTCATTTCACATTGACTTTTGTCTAATAATACGTTTTAATTAAGATGTTATCAAGTTAAAAACAATCCAGCCCCGAAATATATCAGTGACATGCAGTTGCTGTGATCTTATTGTTTGGAAGAGTCTGCTAGTGTTCTGAACGTAAGTATCAGTCGTAGCTGGTCGTAAATTATGGCCATCATCACATTGGTTGATTAAAATACACTGAATCCTAAGTGATTGTGTGAGTGTGTCAATAAACAGCTGACATCTAACAAGCTATGAAAATAGTCTATTAGTTATTGTGCTGCGAAATTCCTAGGTTTGAAACAGATCTTGATGATGGTCTTCGACCACTTCTGATAGGATACTCGAATTGTGGATAATTTTCATACGAAATGCTTGTCGGCTTATTTGAATTAATGTCATGGAGTAAAGTTCATGATAATAAAAATCTCAAAGAACATGTAAGACGTTTAATGGGCCTCACTTTTTATTTACTTTGATTACTAAAGCTTTTACAACTTAACAACCACCCAAAATACTTCTCTTCATCCTAAAGAGGTCACTGAAGTAGTGGTGTCTGGAATTATACCTTTTTAGGTCTTCCAGTCTTTTACTTTTCTATCTGAGAGCTACTGTAGTTTCTCCCGTCTTGGAGACCGAAAAACTATATTCAATCAACTTAACCTACGTTAGGAACATAAGTTCGTATTTCTTCTAACCATTTTATTCTTAGATAATTATGGTAAGCTCAAATAATTTGTAAAATGTTCTCATTTTACAACTGAACTGAGTAGCAGTTATAAGCGACCGTCTTGTCGTAGAAAACTCTGGTTTCTTATTTTTAGGATATACTTCAAAACCGGAATTCGCATCCTTATCTCCCACATTGTCCAATTTTTTCAGAGTTTAGTACACATTCATTTTTAGATGTACATTCAAATATATTGACAAATTATTTTGACTCAACTCACCAACTTCGACTTATCCAATATACTTATGATTAAAAAACTAGACAATATCGTTATCACTCACTTGATTTCATGTTTTAATGCATAGGGTTGGTGATTTTTCGAGATTTGTGGGTATACTATGTATCCAGTTGCACAAAACAAACGAGTTATTGTTTTTAAAAATTTTGATTTTAGACTCCCTGAAATCATAGCTGACTGCGACCCTAATAGTCGTGATCGTTTTCTGATGCCCAGTTTATCAGTCACTGATGAAACAGTGGTCATGGTAACATCACCTGCAACTTCCAAGTTTAATTCTATAACTGATTGTCGAAAAAGGTTTTGTTCGATTCCTGCGAACATTATTCATGATCCGTGTTGATTCGTGAGATTTAATGATCTCGCTCAAAAATACATTACATTTATTCATTTTTTATCATAGTGCAATAAATATTTGTTTTTTGTCCGTTTGAACTGTGATAATTCATTCCTTTTTGTCATTTTTCTCCTGTTTACGTACAATTTATTTCGTATTGTATATGGTAGAGTCTTGATTTTTAGTATTCGTTTCACTTCTCAGTTCTTTTAATGTCAGTGATCTAAATAGTGTAAATTGCATGTCCTAAATTAATTTCTGTACGGTATTTCATTTTCCTTTAATCTACAATCGAAAAATACTTTCTCCCATTTTTAGCGTATCACTTCCTTCAAATTTTCTAATTACCATTTCCACAAACATTGTTTTACCAAAGATGTTAAAAATTATTGTGTATTTCCCAATCAAGTATGTATAGAAATGTCTCATTGTTTTTTTTTTACTTATTTGTGGAAAAGTTCACTATGTTATGCTCAGCCATTATTCATTCAGTAATCCTTTATATGATATCCGTTCAGTATTCTGAATTATTTGAGTGGTGATTAAGTGTTTAGGATATTCGACATTTAGCCACTCCGTTGCAGGTTCGAAAAACTCCCTAATTTATTTCGGTTTGAGTAATTGGATAATATCACTAGACGTCACACTCACTTAAAGTGTGACCCAGAGCCGTGTGCACGAGTCTGTACTCGGTATTGTGTTGAGTCAAAATCAAATTGTTTGAATACAAAAGTCCACTAGTATATTTTCTTGTAAACAAGTAAAGTAGTTTTATTTCTTTAACTACGAGATTTTCGATTCATATATATATTTATCTCTTTTTCTACTCAGAAAACTTCACCCATATCCTACTCAACTTTATTTACGGAGACTAGTAAACAAACTAATTTACTGTCTCACATTAGTTTTTCTTTGCATCTAGTTACTTTGGTTGAGAATGCTACATAGTCATCGACAACGCAGAACTTCGTACATAGGTACATCAGTTGAGGTTTATGTACAACATTAGCGAAGAGATGCAATTGTCAATTCAGATCCCATAGCAGTAGATGCAGTAGAAGTATTAGCGGTAATGGAAAAAATTAGGGTTCAAAGATATAAATCGAGAGGTATCATCCAATGAGGTAAATTTGGAAAGAGAAAACAAAGTCATTAGCAATTAAGAAGATTAGAATTCGAGAGAAGCCAAAGAGTGGATGCATATGCGCCACTGCAAACGATTTTGAGCCATGTCATTGAAAGTTTCAAACCATCGATTACTATTGTCTCGCGAACCCCATCCAGGTAGTCTACCCATATTAACATAGCTCAGTCTAGTTTTCAGTGACTTCATGGATTTGTGCAATGTTTTGGCCTGGCCACCCCTAGTTTTCTTCCAACCTACTCCTACACCACAAAACATAGCTCGTTGAGGCAGTCGGTGGCTGGGCATACTTAACTTATGTCCTAACCACCTCAACAGATAAAGTTTCAATACTTCATCTGTTGATCTGCCATCCTTACCTAGTACCCGTTTTCTAGAATTGCTTACTTGATAGTCCCAGGATACACGAGAAATGCTTCGGAGACACCGATGATCGAAGACTAATAACCTACGAATGTCCTTAATTATTAGTGGCAATGTTTCACGCCCATAGAATAGGACAACAAACTGCTGCTCAGTAAACATTCTTTAGTTAGCAGACGGATGTCTCGTCTACGCTATAAGTGATGCAAGTTGGCAAATGCCAGTCAACCCTTCTATATTCGCGCTGCGATTTTGTCACACACTGGGGCAGCAGCACTGGTGAGACTCCCAAGATAAGTGAAGCGGTCAACATGCTCAACTGCTTCACTCCCTATCATTAGTTCAGGTGCCAGCGCAAGTTGACCATGAAGCAACATTTTGCATTTCGAGGGGGAATATCACATACTGAATATACTCGCATTGTCGTTTAAGGTGGCGAGAAGACTGCATTTTGTCGGCTTCGTCACCAAATAGAACTGTGTCATCGGTGAGTCTCCCGGTAAAAGTTCGACTGTTAAAAAGTCAGATGATGAAATTTTCGTATCTAAAAGCACGTCAGTGACAAAGGTAAAGAAAAATGTAGAAAGTGGACAAACCTGATGAATACTACTTGAAATAATCGATCCCGATGACATTTTACTATAATCTCTCACTTAACTAGTAGTTTTCAGGTAGAGAGCCGGTGTTACATAACTATGTAACTGCTCAGTATACAAGTGAAAGAAGTATGTAATCACGACATATTGATCGAAGAACATTTTATTTCTAAATAGCTACTACAGTATCGTAGAAATAAAAGCCAAGCAATTGTGACCAAATGGAAAGATGATCAATATATAAGCGGTTGAAAACTCATGAAACAGAATTAACATTGTCACTGGCATGGACGTGTATGTTGATCAGATTTATTATGCGAGTGACATAGCAAATTTGTTATTTTAATCAATAATTAGTTCATATAACATCATATCGTGTGATGTTTAGGGTGCTCTAATTAGGACAACTTTATTTTTTATTCGATGATGGAAAATTCAGTTGTCTATCAAGAATAAGATAATTCGTTAATGTCGAAAATTGTCCTTAAAGCAGAATTTTGATCTTGTTAATTTTTATTGTTGACTGTGCTATGTACCATTCGGTTATTTTCATATAGGTAATGATTTTGTAGAAACCGATGAGATCGTAAGCGTTCAGTATTTTTATCGAAGATTCCATTTAAACTGGTCTTTTTTATCCAATTTTAATTAGTATATCAATCGTTTCGCATTAACATTTATAGTGTTTCAAACTTGTTGCTTACCTAGTAAAATATTTGTGTGAATGTTTAGGATAACTGGAATCAGTATGAACTGAAAATATGAATCGACGACAAATTCGATTGCTACTCCTGTAGTGAAGGAGAACACAGGTGAGGGCAACCGAATTGTATTTATCGCAAATTACAGAGTTACTCAGTAAAATAGGAAAACCATATCGTAAACGGTTAATTTGCAAATCTTCAATCCATTGTCTGACATTTCACTATTCATGCGTTTCATACAAATTCCATTGTGTTCCCACTCTTCCTCTCTTGATCTTCCCCCATCTTCTGCTGCTGCCAGACATTACGTTTTCACTCGCGTCATTTACTACTTATAAGTAGCGCGCACCAAACTCCTATTTCATGTTTCACCCAGTCATTAGAATACCTAAAGAAAACAATAGCAACTCCCTCGGTAGACGATAATGGCTGTTGTAGGAGTAGGTATAAAGAGAGATAAAGGCGGCAAACCAAGACACGGGATCAGTCCCTGAAGACATTAACCTTTGGACTGAGCCATGTAGGTAGGCGCAGACTATTGTAACCAATAGTCAGAGGTTTTGGGTGATTTAGATCAAGGTTATTCATAGTAACACAGATGAATTCAATCTTTATTTTTCCTCAGATCTTAAGTTTCTAAATTACTATATAAATTTTCTTATCTTAATAATTTATGTTCTCTTCTCGAATCGTATTTCTGATGGCTGATCTTTCCTCTTCCCATTAGTACTGATGCTACCTCTAGTAATCTGGGATATGTTGTAACGATTTCATATCTTTGTATTGATGGGGTGTATACAAATACCAGTTGTGCACTGCGTGTCACTGACTGATCAAGTAAAGAGAACAAGTGGTCTATTGTTATTTAGCAAAAATACAGAAACTTATATAATTTTTTAACCAATCTAAAATTATAGCGAGAAGACAGTGTTTCTCGAGGTAAAATAGATTGTCTAGTCAAGTTACTCTGGTCACGTAACAACATGAACGAAAATCTGTTGGTAAAAGATTACCATATTCGTAAAGGCCTAAAGTGTTGATTCATAATATAGTCACTTCTTACTGTCTAAGCTGCTATCATCTAACACTCAAAATTTTAGGTCTATGGTTGAATTTTTCAAATCCATCGTTATTTCAGTCGATTAACCTCTTTTGTAACATGTCGCCTGAACTATTGGTGTACAATAACTTTTTTACATCATAACATTTAATGAAAACAAGGCAAATACTTAATTTTATGTTATTGCTGTTATTCTCTAACAGAAGTTTATGATAACTTGAATAGTTAGCGTAAAAATTACATGATAATCAACTATCTTATAATAATACAACATTTTGTATTGAACTTACATTAGATCTGTCATTCATATTTGTTTCAATTACATTCTATGTCAGATTTATATTTCACTAGCTTGCGTATATATTTTGATAGATAGTTGACTAACTAACTAGATAAGCGCATACAATTCATAGTTCACTTCCTCTTTCTAGGAATAGTGAATGATATCAAATTAGCGAATTGTTAGTTTAATCTGTCTTGTACGCAGATTGTTTATCCCTTAATTGTGCTGAATTAAAAAAAGAATATGAGCATTTTAGATGGTTGTCTTATTCACCTGTCATTGGTGCGTGGTTTCTATACAATTTTTACAATAAACTGCATATTGGTTAAGTTGTTTAATGAGTTTGGTTAGGAGGAACAACAGTACATTTCACACAACTACATTGTAAATTTATTTAAATTTGGCTGGCTAGATAATGAGCGCTCAGTCCTGAGAAATGAACAATCAAATAATCAATGCAACGTAGCACTGATCAGCATTACTGTCTAGTTACTTATATTTAGTAATATATATTTACAATATAGATAATATTCAACAATCAATCAAACCCCAATAAATTTGTTGGATAGAATATATTTGTGGTGTAATTAACTTCGTTTGTTTAGTGCACATGTTATAACTCGTAAGTTTAATCTCTCTTTCACTGACTTAATCATTTTGACTCATTAAGATTACATGTGAACTTTGCATTTATGACCTATCTTAGAATTTATATAATTGTTCGAGGATGATGTAGACTTAACAGTTTGATTTAATTAATCAGTCCATTGTAATATTGCTATATTATTTGGTTGTTGATCTCTTCTCTTGAGTTATATTGAAACCTTGTTGTTCATTTGATGAAGATAGAGATTGTATTATTCGAAGCGAATTTTTAAATCTCTATTCTTCATTTTTTTTTCTAACCTTTAAAAGTAAATTTGCTTGAATTAAGCCGTATAAAAGTAACGAATATCGAGGAGGCTGTAATTTGTGAAACTATTTTATCAAAAAAAACTATTGTTTATATTTTTATTTTATAATTATAAGACAAACGGATCATTGTATCTTTATGTTCTTCTGGTTGTATAATCTTTCTTTTGGAGCATAATCAACTGTTGTATGATTTAATTTTCTGAAGTTATTATTAATTAACTATGTGTTTATCAATTGGTCTCCTTTCATTCATGATTTCATGATGTGTACATCCTAATTTCTTATGTCCATGTGAGGCCAACGCTTTATTCTGAGTTATTTTAAGAGTTTAAGCATTACACAAGAGAGAAGATATCTGGTTGCGGATTTCGTCTTTTGATTAGGCACTCAGTTGGAGGTGACTCAAAGACCAAAAGAAGACTAAATTCTCACACATTGTTCAATGGTCACTGTGTCATCAGTAAAATAGAACATCTATCCTACAAGCATTGAAGAACTTCATCAATAATCAGATTACCCAATACCTTTA